TCTCGTGACGTCCGTTTCGACGAGTCCGTCCCCTACTACGTCAGGTACCCCTCTCGAGGTCTCCCGGTTCCCCCCCCTCCCCTCTTCCTGGCTCCAGCTCCTCCTCCTCCCGACCCTACTCCTCCGGTACCCCCCCCTGTTCCCGCTCCGTCTGGTGTGTCCCACGCTACTCCCCCTCCCTCGGTACCCCCCCAGGTCTCTCCTCCCTTCCCACAGTCGTCCTCACCGCCTCCGCAGCAGCCGTCGCCGCTTCCTTCACCGGCCACTGCGGACTCTGAGGGTGTTGGTGCTCGAGGAGAGGGCTCTGGCGGTGCTCGCTCTGGGGGTGCTGGCGTTGGAGCTGTTCGTGCACCTACAGGAGCAGCCAGTTCTGGGGGTGTTGGCGTTGGCGCTGAGCGTGCACCTGCCGCAGCTGCCCGTTCCGAGGGTACTGGAGCTGGTGGTGGTGCTGGAGCTGGTGGTGTTTCTGGAGCTGGAGAGTCTGGGGCTGGTGCTGGCGCTACTGGGGGCACCACGGCTGGGGGTGCGGGTACACCTCCTACAGGTGCTGGTCGTGCTGCCGCGAGGGGTCCTCGCTCTGGGGGTGCTCAGCCGGGTTCTGTCGAGGGCGGAGCAGGTTCTTCTTCGTCGTCTCCTGACACCACTCCTCCTCCTCACCCTTACCCGACTCGCCACCAGGCCCGTCTTCGTCTTGAGCGTGAGGAGCAGCAGCGTTTGGAGCGTGAGAGGTTGGAGGTTCAGCAGCGGGTGGAGCGTGAGAGGTTGGAGTTGCAGCGAGAGCAGCAGCAGCAGCAGCAGCAGCAGCAACCGCCGCCGCCGCAGCCGCAGCAGCAGCAGCCGCAGCAGCCGGAGCAGCCTCCGGCACCTGTTTCTGGCCTTCGGGCCCTTGGTCTCCCCTCCTCTCCTCCTGTGTTCGGTCCTACGTTTCCTCCTCCGGACTCCACTCCGGCTGTCTTCCCTCGTTCTCAGTCTCCTCCGTCCCCCCCTCCTCTCGCCCACACTTGGGCCTCTCGTCCTCCTCGTGCTCGTCCCTCGTCCCCTGTCACTGACCTCCGTACCGTGTTGTTTCGTCCTAGTCCTCCTCGTTCTCCTCCGTCTGTCCTTCCTCGTCCTCCTGAGTCGTCCCTCACTGCCTCCCTGTCCACTCCGGTCACTGACTACTACCGCGCGTACCGCCCCACTCTCTCTCGTGTTCTCGCCTCTCTTGTTACAGACCCTCGTGCCTCTCCTTCCTCCGTCGCGGTCCTCACTGCCGCTGTCACTGACTTTACTGCTACGCGTCGCCTTGACTACGCCACTCGTGTTGTGGCCGCTCCTCCTGTCCGTCCTCTGTCCGCCGGGGGTGAGTCTGCCCTTGGCTGTGACGTCCTAGAGGACAGACAGTTTGAGCTAGAGTTCCTGGCAGCTGCTTCACCTCATCTCTGTGCCATGCTGCTCACTCCTGAGGGAGACCCCGACGCTCCTGACATACCTACTCCTCGCACCTACGCTGAGGCAGTGTCAGGGCCTTGGGCCTCTCAGTGGAGAGCTGCCATGGACGCAGAGATGGCCTCCTACAGGTCCACAGGCACTTACGTTGACGAGGTTCCCCCCCCAGGGGCGAACATCGTTGACGGCATGTGGATCTTCAAGGTGAAGCGGCCGCCGGGATCTCCCCCAGTCTTCAAGGCACGCTACGTGGCTAGAGGGTTCAGTCAGCGTGAGGGAGTTGACTTCTTTCAGACCTTCGCGCCCACCCCGAAGATGACCACTCTTCGGGTGTTACTACACGTAGCAGCGCAGAGAGACTACGAGCTTCACTCTCTTGACTTCTCCACTGCCTTCCTCCAGGGCCGCCTACACGAGGAGATCTGGCTGCGTCGTCCTCCGGGCTTCACTGGCACTTTCCCGCCTGGGACCCAGTGGAGCCTCAGACGACCGGTCTACGGTCTCCGCCAGGCACCCCGTGAGTGGCACGACACTCTCCGCTCTACTCTCTTCGACCTCGGGTTTGAGCCGCCGACCCGTCGCTGTTTGTTCGTCGTGGGCGCACACCTTTCTTCGTTCTGGTCTACGTTGACGACTTGGTTTTTGCCACAGCCGACACAGCTGCACTGGCGGAGGTGAAGTCCGAACTGCAGAAGAGACACACCTGCACTGACCTTGGGGAACTGCGCCGCTACCTTGGCCTGCAGATCTCCAGGGACAGAGCCGCTCGCACCATCACTCTGACTCAGTCACACATGGTGCAGCAGGTCCTTCAGCGGTTCGGGCTTCAGGACTCTTCTCCTGCCCCCACTCCTCTTGCTGTAGACCACAGACTCACTGGGCCTTTTCCTGACGAGCCGTTCGAGCCCTTTGGTCCCTACGCAGAGCTGGTGGGCTGCCTCATGTACCTGATGACGTGCACTCGCCCGGACCTCGCCTTCCCTCTTAGCATCCTGTCTCGCTTTGTTGCGACTGGGAGACACCGTCCTGTTCACTGGGCGGCGGCTAAGAGGGTGGCGAAGTACCTTGGCGCGACATCAGGCATGGGGCTTGTACTTGGAGGGACACAGCCAGTTGTACTCACCGGTCACTGCGACTCCTCCTACGCCGACGACGTTGAGACTCAGAGGTCTACGCAGGGTTACTGTTTCAGCCTGGGTTCTGGAGCTGTTTCGTGGAGGTCTACTCGGTCCTCCTCGGTTGCGACTTCTACCGCAGAGGCCGAGATCTACGCTGGGGCCCTTGCTGCTCAGGAGCTACGCTGGTTGACCTTTCTGCTCACTGACCTTGGTGAGTGGCCGAGCTCTGCACCGACCCTGTTTGCTGACAACAGGGCGATGATTCTCCTGTGTCGTGAGCCTCGACTGGAGAGCAGAGTGAAGCACATCGACGTCAGGTACTTCCTCCTTCGAGAGTTGCAGAGACGCGGGCAGGCTCGTCTGGACTTCGTGGCCTCCGAGGCCAACACTGCAGACATCTTCACCAAGGCTCTTCAGCCTTGTGACCACCGCCGGTTCTGTCTGCAGTTGGGCCTCGTTGAGACTGGGTCGAGTAGACTTCAGTAGTGAGTGCTTGTCTTTTGTCCTTGCTTGTACTGCATATAATTGCATATACACTCTTGAACTGGCCTTGTGGCCGCTGTTTGCGCTCAGACTGTGTGGTGACGTTGTGATCCACCCTGAGCTTGTTTTGTCTTTTGTTTGTGACTGGTCTTGTGACCTTAGGTTGCGTTTCTTGTTGCTTGGCATTCCCCACTTAGGCTATGGGGGTGTGTCAAATGTTATAGCCTATTGTGGGTCATGCTATATGGGGTACAAACAGTTAGGGTTAGGCATATGTACCCCAACCCAATCAATGCTACTCATTCCGCTGTAGTCTGTTTCTGAAAGCGTGCGTGCGTGCGTGCGTGCGTGTGTGTGTGTGTGTGTGTGTGTTGTGTGTGTGTGCGTGCATGCATGTGTCTGTGTGTAGCATTGGTGCTTTTATAAATTGCTTTCATTTCAACATTACCTTTACTATTTCCCATACTCTCGTGTTATGCTACATGTCAGGGCCCGTGCTAGGTTTTGGGACACCCTGAGCCCTCAGGGCACTTTTCTAGAATCCAAAAAAATGCCCTGATTTCTCAGGGCAAATCTTCATAGTCTTCCTGATTGGTCAGGGCTTTTGCAGAAAATAATCCTGACCTGTCAGGGCAAAAATTGTAGTGTTCAGGGTTCTGATTTTATCACAAACAGACCAGACCAGACTCTGTTTAGCATAGCAGAGCAGCCGCAGCCGAACTTCACTACTAGTGCTGCTGCTACTCTAACAGCATCACCGCAAGGGTGTTGGATGGAGTGCTACTGAACGTCAGCGTGAGAAACCCAGCTAGAGCTAGCCAGGCAGAGGACGAGTTGCCTTGGCGGTGGGTGATGGGGTGGGGTTGGCTTGGCTGGTGTAGCGGGGGATCGGAAATGTCAAGGGGAAGAGAACGTGCGAAGGCGGGAAACGTACACGGGGGAAAATTTCAACGGAGACAAAAATCCTCGGGGAAAAAATTCCCCCCGAAACGGAACACCCCCCCTTACACCCCCCCCCTCCCCCCCGTCCCCCACCAAAATCCGCGTCAGGGCAGGCCTCGACATTCATCCTGACGCTACAGGGAAGAACACTACGGCCATCCTGAAACTCCAGGGCATTTCACATAAAAACATCCTGTGACCTCAGGGTTAAAATTATGACTATTCTGAAATTGCAGGGTAAATACAGAAGTGCATCCTGAATTCAGGGTAATCAGGATGTTTTGCCCTGATAAAGTGGGCCCTGCTACATGTTGCTTCATATGCTGTACATCTCTCAAAATACTGTAGACAGACGCTAGTCACCTTGACCGTTCCCCCTGGGGTTCTCATCCAAACATCCAACAGGCCTCCGCCCCCGCATCACATCGGAATGTGGGTTGGCTTGAATGCGCCGAAAGCTTCACGACAATCTACCTGCGCGCCGAGCTACAGGCCCGCTCGTCCGGACCTCCCGCGTAGCGCAAAGCAACCCTAGCGCAACCCCACCAACTTCCGCCGACCCCGCTTGATCTGAACCTGGTCAAAAAACACGCCCCTGGCATTTTCGCTCTGTAGATCTTCCGAAAGCGAAGCACCGTACAGAAACGTACTATACCGTCGTTAACGACAAGCAACGGACAGGACGTACTGTACCACCTGGCTGCCTGCTTGATATTCCCTAGGCACACTTTGCACGACGTCTTTATTCCGTGATTCTCGCAATAGGATCATATCTTAAAGGCAGCGCTTCCCAGGAAGCAGTCATCGCCTGAAAATCGGCGTGCCTCTTATCTAGTTAAGCGAACGAACTCGCGCGCTTTGTGATCGCATTTATGGCCACCATCGCAGTGTCGCTGGCATTTCTGGATTGACTGCTCTCACATTGCTTCCTAGCTTCGACCACTTGCAACTCTCGTTGCACGATCGCAGAGGCTCCTATCCAAGCTTATATAATACGGGTACATCTAAGGTTAAGACTTTTCCTTAGGGATGGAGGAAGTAGAGTTGGTGGCGTATGCGGGGATTGCGACGAGCAAGGGTAATATTCTCGCGGATTACGGCCGAGACCGGGACGTGTACCGGGAGGCGATCTCCGCCGCATTACCCGCTCTCCCGGAACATGCGTCACAAATCTCCATGGTAAGGTTGGATTTTGCGACACGGAGGGATCTCAGGGGAGAGAACTTCATCATTATTATTATTTCACCAAAATTTGTCACCGATAACTTCTCCAGCTGTCCTGAAACTTTACACTTTTCTCCTTTTCGGTTTTCGAATGTAGCAACGCTTCAATAAGACCCGAACAATGTTTCCACCGTCATGTGGTCTAATGGCCGGCACTTTGTTGAAGCGTTCCCTGCTTTTGTCTCGTTTTTGTTTTTGTTCTTGTTTTTTTTTTTTTTTTTTTTTTTTTTTTTAATGCTCTCCCGACGCTTGATCAACCTGAATTATCACATTCTTCCTATAAGGCTGCATTTTGTTCGCCAAGACATGTCATCGTTTCACTACACGAATAGTAATCTAGGCTTTCAATGTCGCAGAGCCATTTAATGACTGTAAGCCGGAATATTGACCGCAGCGATTGCTTTTGCAGGCGTTTCAAAATTCTGTAACTGCCACCAGGGACCTGACGATTGCCATAACTTATAGCGAATTACGGACAATGATACCATTTTCAGGCGCCTCAGAAAATGTATTGAAATTCTGTCACCGTTAACAGGACGCAACGGTTGCCTAGACCTCGAGCTAATAACGGACAAAGATAAACTTCCCCAACCCTTCTCTCGCGATCTTACTCGCTCCTCTTTCTCCTTCCGCTCTTCCCTCCTCTCTACCACCCTCTTCCCCCCGTCTCCCTCTCCCGCCCCCCGCCCCCCGCCATCCCTTCCCCCCGTCCCCACCCCCCGTCCCCAGGGCCACGGGCGGCTGTTCGTGCTGTTTCTGATGGCAAAGGACGGAATCGTATTTTTCTGTCTGGGCTACGACCCGCTCACCAAGGATCAGGCGCGCGGGCTGCTGGGGCGCATCGTTCTGTATTTTCCGCGCAATTCTCACGAAACGGAGGAGAGAGAGAGAGAGGGGAACGTAATGCTTCCTCTCTCCGTCTACCCCCACTCCCCCACCCTCCCCTCGCCCACCCTTCTTCCCCCTTCTTTGACCCCCGTCCTCACCCCCGGTCCCCAGGGCCACGGGCGGCTGTTCGTGCTGTTTCTGATGGCAAAGGACGGAATCGTCTTCTTCTGTCTGGGCTACGACCCGCTCACCAAGGACCAGGCGCGCGGGCTGCTGGGGCGCGTGCGCACGGCGTTCCTCTACTCCGCGCGCAAGTGCGACCTGCACTCGGGCGCGCCGCTGCCCGACGCGACGCGCGACAACATCCGCAAGTCGTTCGCGTCGACCTTCCGCTCGCACAGAGGAAAGATCGAGGAAGGCGCGCAGCCGCCGCCGCTGACGATCTACCACGACGCGCCATTCGCGTACCGAACCAAGTCGGAAGACTCGTTTCCCGCAGGTGAGAGTCAGGATGGGGAGGAGAGCGACGAGGGGGAGGAGGGTGAGGAGGGGGTGTGGGATGATGACGAGGATGATGGTGATTATAGGGAAGGTGATGGTGGTGGTGGTGGTGGTGGGGAGGACAGGGCAGAGATTAGGGTGGAGGATGGTGGGGGTGACCCTGACGATTGTGACTTTAGGCGGAGTTCCGCAAACGGGGAAGCGGAAGGGAGGCCAGCGGACGATACAGGAACAGGAACAGGGTCAAGACGCAGCGAATCGAACGGCCAGGATCAACAGAAGCGAGAGCAGCAGCTAGCAGCAGGAGGGAGCGACGCTGGGGGTGGGAACAACAGGGACGGCAAGGACGGCAGGGACGGCAGGGATAATGATGCCCGCAATGATGACGAGGACTCAGGGTGGGTGGATGGGGCCACCCTGGTGACGGGGCAAGCGCTGAAGGGTGCCACGTGGCAGCGCCTCCCTGCGTCAGATCCGGGAATCGGGCGGGGTAGAGGCAGGCGGAAAGGGGGAGGCGGCGGGCGGAGCAGCATCGAGCGGAGTGGGGGGAGGGGGAGTGCGAGCAGTCTCACGCCGAGACAGAGATTACTGCAGGAGGTGGGGGATGTCCTGGTGGGAGTGGGGGCAGATGTGTCTGGGTGCGCCGTTGACCCCTGCTTTGACCTCGGTCAACCCGTCCGGCCGGTTGACGCATGCCTTGACCTGGGTCAACCCGTGAGACCAGCAGATAGAAGCAGCCGGCCGGCCAAGGCAAATGCTGTTGATAGCAGCAGGGACGGCATTGGAGGAGGAGGAGGAGAAGGAGGAGGAGGAGCAGAGCTGCAATCTCGGCCTACTGCAGTCGAACCGTCCCCAGTTGCACCTGCCCGCCCCTCCCCCGGATACCCTCCCCGAGGCTCCTCCACCCCCCCGATTGCCCCCTCCTTCGCCTCCCCTGCCGCCTTTCGCGGGTCTGGCTCGGGGAAGCGGCTCTCGATCAATGAGAGGCCGACACCTGGCATCGCGGGCAGCAGCGGGAGCGGGTGGAACATGAGCGTAACGTTACCCCCCCAGGCCCTTGCCCAGCTAGCAGCCGCCATGCAAGAAGAGGAGGAAGAGGATGGGGGGAAGGGGCCGGTGAGGGAAGGGCAGGGAGGGGGAGGAGAGGAGGGTGCGGGACCTGGGATGGGGTTTGAGAGGCGGAGTGTTTCGGCAGCAGTGGCTGCGGCGCAGAGAGGGGACCGCGCGTTTGTGCACAGTCATAGTTGGAATGTGCGATCGAGTGGCTTGGACGAGGGGGACGAAGGGGAGGAGGGAGGGCGGGGGAGTGGAGGAGGGGGTGGAGAGGGGTGGGAAGCGGTGCAAGGGAGAAGGACGATGAGCAGTCATGGCAGGAGGGGTGCGGCGTCAGGCGTTTCTCCTGGCGTTTCTCCTGGCATGTCTCCTGGCATGTCTCCTGGCATGTCTCCTGGCATGTCTCCTGGCATGTCTCCTTGGGGTGCCATCACGCCGTCACGGCTGTCCAGATTGAGCTCCTCTGCTTCTCCTTCCGCCTCTACTTCCGCCACTGCTGTGGTTTCCTCGCATGCCTTTCCGGATATGGACGGCTCGTATAGTCACACCACCCCAGGGAACAACTTTTACAGTCACACGCCAGTGGATGGCCAAAACAGAAGCAGTCCGTTGCGGGACTCGAACCTCCCCCCACGGTCGAGCCCACTGGCTCGAGAGCTCGCGGATTTGGAGAAGGAAAGCGGATCCGTACATTCTGTCCCCGTTACAAGCTCCTCCTCTCCAGGCAGGGCTGCTTTCCCGGATCTTATGCCTGTGAGCACTAGAAGAAGCAGCCTTGCGCAAGAGATAGAGGAGCTGGAAGGAGCAGGCGCAGGTGCAGAGCAGCTGCAGCAGCAGCAACAGCAGCAGCACTGCTCTTGGTGCCGCTGGTGGTAACCCTAGTGCTGCTGGTAACCCTAGTGCTGCTGGTTACTCTCCTGGTTACCCGCGCGTCGACAGTGGCAGAAGTGGCAGTGCCAGCAGTAGCCGCAGGTTCCTTGGTGGTGGTAGCGGTGGGGACATCGCCACTGGTGTTGGTGGTGGTGGAGACATAGCCTTCGGGGTAGGCACTGGTGTTGGTGGTGGTGGAGACATAGCCTTCGGGGTAGGCACTGGTGTTGGTGGTGGTGGAGACATAGCCTTCGGGGTAGGCACTGGTGTTGGTGGTGGTGGAGACATAGCCTTCGGGGTAGGCACTGGTGTTGCGGCTGCATGGAAGTCTGGGCCTGGGAGTGACAGCGGCGTTCCGACTGCTGGGTACGGCAGTTACCGCGTAACCGACCAGTTTGGCGCATCTGCGAGTATTGTGTCCGAGCCGTCTGCGTCGCCTCGGTCTCCTGCGAGTTCTGTTGCCGTTCCTGTCCTTCGCCGAACCTACACGGACTGCGATCGGCTCGCTGCGGCAGGAGGTTTGGGAGGAGGTGCGGAAGCAGCAGCAGCTGGTGGTGCGGTTGGTGCTGGTGCGGCAGATTCAACGTATCTGGCCTCGCCCGGTTATTCGATGCATATGACCTCACCTGCTCGCTCCTGCTCTTCCAGCATAGATGGTCGTTCGGAGGTAATGCTGCGATCCCCACAATATGGCCGAGCAACAGCAGGAGGAATGGGAGCGAAGGGAGGAGCAGCAGCAGGAGGAGGAGTAGTATCACCTGCAAGAGCAGCAGCAGGAGCAGCAACAGGGCAGCCTGACTCTCCTGCTACCGCCTTTGCTCCCACCTCGCCTGCTCCTGACCGTACCAGCCGCCCCGCTTTCCCTGATTATCAGTACTCTCCCTCCGCTTCACCCATCTCCACAACTTCTCCTTCCCGCTCGCAACCCATCTTCACCACTTCCCCCTCCTGCTCCCAAGTCCCGCCCGTGCCCCCGTCTTCTAAACCTAGACGCACTTCCAAGGTGTTTAAAGCGTTTGGGCCTAAGAGTCCACTGAACACTGTGAAATCGGGAGGGTTCTGGCCGGTGCAGAGCGGTCCTGCCAGCCCTGCCAGTAGCACTGCTAGTGGGTTCTCAGCTGCTACTCCCACTGCTGATGCCGCTGCTGCTGTTGCTGCTGCTGCTGCGGCTTCTGCTGCTGCTGGTAGTTCCACCCCTGTTGCTGCTGGCTCTGGTGGTTTGATGAGCAGCAGCAGTAGTAGCGGCAGCAATCAGAAGGGAGGGGAAGGTTCACTCGGAAAGATGTGGCTTAAGCTGTTTGGGAAAGGCTGGGGCAAAGGGGGTGGAGAGGGAGAGAGGAGTGAGGGGATAGAAGACGAAGAGGAAGGGGCGGGGAGGAGAGGACGGAGGATGTCACTTCAAGGGTCTAGGAGCGAGACAAGAGGGAATGAAACTGCTGGGCAGGTTCGGGGCAGGATGCGACGAAATTCTCTATCTTCGAAGCTGGAGAAAGTAGGGCTTCGGACGAGCGCAACCGTTGGATCAAACCCTTGGGGTGGGAAGGAAGATGGGGGTGGCGAAGGTGATGGGAGCCACGAGGGAGATGCATGGCAGATTGCGAAGAGAGGGGGGAGGATGGACGGGAAGGAAGGTGACAGGAAAGATGGGGAAAGGGAGAAGGCAGGGGGAAGTGGGGTTCAGGAGGAGGATGAAGGGGAGGGGATGTGGAGGGGCAAGTTGAAGGTGCTGGGTGGGGGGAAGGCGAAAGGCAGGGCGAGTTGCTCTGTGTGATGCGAAGCAGCTGTTGCATGGGTGGATGACAGGCGTTACTGTGGGTGTCTTCTTTTGAGGCGCCTCAAAAAGAGGGGCAAGTTGAAGGTGCTGGGTGGGGGGAAGGCGAAAGGCAGGGCGAGCTGCGCTGTATGATCCGAAGCAGCTGTTGGGTGAGTGACACAGAGCAGCTGTTGCTGTGGGTGAATGACAGGTGTTGCTGGTGTAGCAGCTTCTGCCTGTGTGGATGGTGGGAAATGGCAGTGTACCCATCAACGATGCGCATCAGCAGCTATATATCATGAGAATAATGGGAACGTGTGGAATGAGGAAAGTTCCCAGAAGTGCAGCTCGAGAAGGGTGGAGCTGGAGAGCTTTTATTAGGTGGGTCGGAGAACGCGTGGAGGAGAACAGGTGGTGGAGGGGAACAGGTGGTGGAGGGGAACAGGTGGTGGAGGGGAAGAGGTGGTGGAGAGGAGTCCAGTCCATAGTTCTGGCTAGACATTTGGGAGCTTTATCCGGACTGGATTTGAGGCGCCTCAATGCTTGAGAGGAGTCGCACTCCCTAGTGCTGGCTACACGTTTGGGAGCTTTGCCCTGACCTCAGGGTTGAGGGTTTCAGTTGGCCGGATGGGAAGGATGGACAAGCATGAATGCACAAGTGGCAAGGTTTTTTTCCCCCGGGATGGGGATGTAGCCATGGGGAGAAGCGATGGGATGAGGGATATGATAGGGGGTAAAGGGGGCGGGGGGCTAGAAAAGGGTTGGTGGAAAGCAGTTTCTGCGTTGTCCATTTGTTGCTGCTGCTGCTGCTGCTGCTGCCTGTCTGCCTGCGGCTGCTACTGCTGCTGCGCTTGGCATTGTAACGAGCCCCGCGCGTTGCATGAAGAGCCGATTCATGACTGATCTCTGAGTCCTTTTTCCCCCGAGGCCGCCCGTACCACCACCACTGCTGCTGGCTGCTGCTGCAGGCTTTTCCTGACTTCCGTTCGGGGGGGAAATTCGGCATGCGATAGACTGCTGCTGCCCTGAGCATGGGGTGGACTTCTGCTCGGAGGAATAGGCCTCTCCTCTCGCTCCAGCTTCAGCTTTCTATTCGCCTGCTTTCAATGGATTAGGGGAATGTAGTTTGGGGTCATTAGTAGGGTCATTTGTAGGGTTCGTTGTGTGCTACAACATCAAGATGTTGAATTCGCATATTCTCTTGAAGCTTTTTATTTTCTAGCATTCAAAGTCGTGTTGCGCCGTGAGAGGGTTTGATTGAGATCAAGGAGTAATCAAATGTAGGTGGAACTGAGCTTGACTAAGTTCCCCAAACTTAGCATTCTTTGCTACATTTTGGACTGAGAATTACATGAATTGATGTCTCAAAAAGCCAACATTTTTGTAGCGAAGTAAGTTTCAGTGACGACCCGCAAGTAGGAACCCGTCCCTAATTTTGTTTGTCGGTTGTGCTCCAAACTACACTCAGGTGTTTTTTCAGCCCCGCATCTGCTCCGAGAAGCCATTCCACTCTGTTTCTGGCAAGGCGCAGGTGAAGCTCAGGTGTATCACAAAAATTGGCGCTTCGTACGGTGAATTTGGCTTGCTCCAGCCGTTTGGTTCCGCAAGCCCAGACCCAGACAGTGTTCAGGAGACAATCAACGCACATTATGGATACCGTTGGAGCCAGGGTTATGCACTTTAGCCTTGTCCATAGACTCTTTTACGATTGCGGTTAGATTCCCTGGACGCATATCCATCTAAACATGGGTTTGTAAATTACGAAATAAGGACAAATAAGACAATTTTACACCTCACATCTGCTTCAAAACTGTAGGATTGCCTTTCCGCAGGACTTCCCTGCTGGCGACATCGCATTCCGAAGGCACCCTGATTTTCACTCCGCGCTGCCCGAGAAATGTTGTTTCTGTGGTCGTCGTGTGCCTGGTCCCTCACATCCATCCCAGCCAATCCCATCCCATCCCATGCAGCTGCGCAAATCCCACCCGCGAACTGTCCTCCTGATCGCTGACCTGACCCTACCGAAATTGTACCCTCGGCTTGGCACATCAAAAGGATGCCATACAGTTGAAACAGTCACTAGTCTCCTCTGGCACCTCATTCTTGGGTAGAACTTCACCTGTTTGTTGTACACTATCAGAACTAGTCTTCTAACTCAGTGCAGGTCTCATAGAAGCAGCGCCGCCATGGCATCCCGGCTCGCGATCCTTATCGCCGTTCTGGCAATGGCGGCCGCAGCGCACGCTACAAGCTCCGCAAGCACGGCCGCAAAGGCAGCTGCCAAGCCCTACCCGTCATACCTGAAAGGCCTCTGTACCAAGGGCGGCTGCGATTATAATTCCGGCTCGTTCGACTACTGGACGGTTAGTTCCCAATTTCGGCTTTTTGTCATTTGCGCCTGTCGTCCCGCACCTCCGCGTTGCTTCCTTTCTCTCTCGCGCTATTACTCCATTTACCCTCACCCTTCGATCCTCTTCGCTTTCTCCCTCTCGCTCCGACCCCCTCCCGCTCATTCCCCAAGAACCCGCTGCCACGCGTGCTCATTTCTTCCGCATTCTCCCGCGTTCTCCCTCCGCGTTTTCCCCCGATTTCTTCCGCAGATCCCCGAGTACGGCGCATGCGTGAACTCCCCGCCGTCGTCGTCGCTGCCGTACTGCGCGGCCGGCAGCATCCACGCCAAGGCATGCTGCAACAAGTGCTCCAACACCACCGGCACCAACTCCTTCAACTGCCGCTACTGGGTGCACATCCCGTACGTTCCCGTGACACCTTCCGCCTCCCCCCTCTCCCTCCCCTCTCCCCGTCCCCTCTCTCCCTCCCCCTCTACCCGTTTCATCCCTCCCCTCTACCTTCCCCTTGCTGCCCTCTTCTGCCCGCCGGTTCAGTTTTTACCGAACATTCCCTCCTACCCTTCCTAACAGCCTTCCCTCTCTCGTTCCCTTCCCTCCTGCCTTTTCTTCTCCCTCTGTTTCTCCTTTCCGCTGCGTTGCGCTTCCAGGTCCTCCGGGGCAAGCTCGGACACCTGCTCCGGGAAGCCCTGCGGCAAGTGCATCCTGCTCCCCGCGATTGACGGCATCGAGCCCGTGAAGGGCGGCGGAAAGAAAATCCGCATCGGCAAGGCCTGCCCGACCACCAAGGACGACCCGCATTTCCTCGGCGCGCACGGAACGCGCTTCGAGTTCAACGGGCTGCCCGAGAAATCTTTCTGCCTGTACACGGACCGTCAGATGCACATCAACATGGGCATGCGCGGGTATTTCGATGACCGTACTGACGGCGCCGCGCTCGTCGTTAACGGCAAGGCAGTTCGCACGTGGATTCGCCAGCTGGCGATCATGTGGCGGTCCCGCGACGGTGCGTCGCACAGCTTCGTCATGACCGCTCGCGACGGCAAGGAGCAGGCCCGTGGCGACGGTTTCGTGAAGTCTATCGTCGCAGACAGCAAGACTCTGCCTAGAATGAAGGTCGGCGAGAGCAAGAAGATCGCAGATCTCACCCTCACCTTCAACAAGATCGAGAAGGTTGGACCGTACGATGTGGACGCATACACGGTCAGGATCGGCGATCAGATGGAGCTGGATCTGAGGCTCCGCGTCGCCCACCCGCTTCTCCAGACCCCCGACGACGCCGAGACGCACATCAACGTGATGTTCACTGACGTGGCACCCACTGCTGACGTGCACGGTGTCATGGGCCAGACGTACCGTTCGGGCAGGGAGAAGCGTACGACGGACTTCTCCCGTCTGGCTGCCGTTCTGCACCACCCCGTTTCCGCTGACGGAGCAGAGGGCAAGGGCTTCCTTGACGGAAAGGTTTCTGACTATGAGACGTCTTCTGTCACGGCCACTGACTGCAAGTTCTCTGCGTTCAACACTGGCGAGCTTCCCGTCGCGGCTTAAAGCCCTGAGAAGGTTAATAAGATATTCTTCCTGTTCTTAGGGGATTCTTGTATTGTACGCTCGCAATCGGACAGATAGCCGTTATATGTACTCTAATCGAAGTACTAGTGGGCGCGTATTTCTATTATGTGTATTACTGCTCCACCCTGCTGTTGCACTAAACGCTGGCCGAATGTTGCATAAGCTTTCGTTCATGCGTGAGGCTAAGATGAGTGCCTAAAACTTGACAAATTTATGACCACGGGCACTATCTCCATGATTAAACTTGTTCGGAAAATCTTATAACAGAAACGGGGAATGGGATAGCGGAGCCCTACCTGGCTCGACAACAGTTACCTATTAGTGGAGAGCCGGCTGTTTCGCCAGGGCACGACCTTCTGCGCCTCGCCCCGGGCTAGCGTTAGGGAAACTGCCAAACCTCACACCTGGGGTCTACACCCTCGTTCTCATCACTCTCACCAGCGGAAGCACTGGCTACAGTGTTTGGACGTAGCGGGCTGGTGCGATAACTCGGTTGCGGGCAAAGTCGCACGAGGCGACGAAACAGGCCTTGGGCAAAAAAAAACCGTTAACGCTGAATATCCGTCTCAACCGCTTTGAAAACAACAGTAACATTCCAGAACGTACAAAACCTTGACTAAACGCCTCGGTTCAATTTGTCACTATAACGCATGTGATAGGACCTTGTATGGTCCAGTGCGGCTACACTAAGCGTCGCGGTCAGTCTAACGTATGCCAGTCTATCGAGAATGAGGGTGTACCAGCTTCCAGATGAATTCTCACCAACCAAACTGATTGGTGAACTCGCTACAAGCACATTGACTGATTGGTTGTGATTCGGTTGTGCGAGTGTTGTAACGAAACGACGATGTCCATTTGCGGTTCCCCATTCGGCTGCTGGCGGCGGCCACCAAGGGCTGCCAATTTGCTGCCCCGGGCCCTACCTTGAGGGGAGGGGAGGACCTTTGGCGGGGCGGGGCTGGTGTTCGTGTATCTGGACCTGCTGGAGTCAGGGCGGATTCACGAGACGCGGGCATCCAGAAAAGAAAACTCGGCCTATCTGTTCGCCAATAATGGGGAACAACAGAAGTGAGCGATTTTCAACAAGGAATATCTACCACCAAGTGTCATATTTACGGGATGTTGCAATTTGCGATGCACGCACGGGAAGAAAGGAAGGCTCCAAGCAAGCGGGGGAAAAATTCGGGCAATTTTTCGGCCAAGAAAAAATATCAAAGAATGACTACAAGAGTTATTTGCCAAGGCTATAAGGTCTTTACAAGAATGATCATACAGTTTTCACACGTTTTTTGTAAAATTTTACGGCCCCTTGATTTCCTGGAGCCTTCCTGGCCCCGTGCCACGAGCCGAGCCGATGCAGTGCACCGCGAATTGCAACACGCCGTTAGGGTCCTGATTGACAAAACTTTGTGACTTGAGGATTCTAGGTCTGCCCCGATGACATGTACAAACCAAACCTGGAAAGCCTCGCATCGCGCCCCTCTACACAGCCATGGCGGAATGCGCAAGGGACTCTCACTGGTCGCCAACCTGCCCGACCACTCCGCTCATTTCCTTAGCTCTCATTTTCAGTGGTCTACGGCGTGAGAGCAGCAGACACGCAACGCAAACAGTCACACGAACCCTCAGCTAATGCAAGCCCTGATTGTAACTGGAAAAGTGATTGACAGTTGCCAGGATCATAAGAGCGTGCTCCTCACCTATCGTGTTCTCCTTCTGACGTTACGATGTTTTTAGGGTTTCGTCCCATCGTGTGACTCTCAGATGCTCGTTCTACCTACTTACCTTCAGCGCGATCCGCTCACCGCTTTCAGCCACTCTTCGCTCGTAATAGGCCTCTCTTCTGTGCCGATTATCCTGATAGCGCTTTCTTTGTTGCTCCTGAAAATTTGGATATCTCGCACACAGCCATATCTAATTTCGCCATACGCCGTCTGAGCTCCTTTGCGCTTAACGCATGTGAGCGGTAGTCGTGACTGCTTATCAAATCCAGCTGCAGCCTTAGCCCTACCAGTGATCTACGCAATACCTATTTCAAATTTCGCAGTCTTTCCTGCTTTACTAGAACCGGCATAGGAAACATGGGAGAAATGGATGTTTCCGCTCACGCTAACCGGCAAGAAAAACGCCTTAGAATTGTGTCGCGTCGTCTGTAGTACGTGCGCGGTAGATTAGAGCAGTCAGCTTTACAGCAGGTTTCCACCAGCTTTCCTCGTCGCAAGCAATTTTCGAGTCGATTAAAAATTCGTCGCAATCGCGGTATATTAGAGCAGCCAATCGGAGAACGCCGTCGAACAACTTCCAACTTCCTGATAATCGCACCGTTTCATACATTCTTCGGCCGGACCACGAGCGTTGCGTAGCTGATTACGCAGCCGATTTTTTCGCAGAAGCCGTCGCCGAGAGCAGAACGACATTGCTTAGCGAGCGAAACTCAGGTTTTGCGAACTGGTTGCACGACATGGATCGCACGGCTCGCCTGCTTCTGTCGCTCGTCGCCCTTCTCGTCGCTTCTGGTGAGTCCGCCTGCCTCCCATTCCCCCTCCTGTCCCTCGAAACCATCAATCAATCACACCCACCTCTCTTCCCTCCTCCTTTTCCTCCTCGTTTCCCTCCCCATGCCCCGTGTGCGCCCCCTTTCCGCCTCTGTCCCTTTCTCTCAATCACCCAAACCCGTCCACCCCGCCCCCTCCGCTTTCCCGCTGCCCTCACGCCACGTGTGCGCCCCCTTTCTGCCCCACGTCGCTTTTTCCCTCCGCTTTTTCCGCAGCCCTCACGCCACGTGTGCGTGCCGCTAGCGAGCTGAGTGACGCGGACCCGTTCCCCCTTCGGCTGCACCACGCGAGATTTCATGAACAGGTGGACTCCCCCCTTGCCACGTCAGCATCGGACCCCTTGTCGAACTCCCCCGCCACGTCAGCGGCCTACTCGTCCCACCTCGCCACGGCAGCTTCCGTTGCTCCAGAGGAAGCTTCGTCAGATGCTGTGTTGCGGCTGAAGCAACAGCAAGAGGATTTCCAAATAGTGACTGGTGGGAGCAGTGAAAGCAATGGGGGCAGTGAAAGCAGAGGGGGCAGTGGGAGCAGCAGCAGCAGCGGCAGCAGCAGTGACAGGAGGGGAAGCTACAGTAACCAAGTGTACACTGTATACTTAAGAGGGTTACCACCCGTTGTCAGTTACACCGGCGGTGTTCCCGGCTTTGAAGCCACCGCCATCGCCGCCGCCACTGACGCCGATGCTGACGTGGCAGCAGTGGGGACCACAGAACAAAATCCCACACCATTCCCCCCCAGGCCCGATCCTAAAGCCTCCCACGTGCTAGCATACACACAGCAACTCGCGTCTCAACATTCCCACACCATCGCAAGCATTGGCCTCTCATCTTCAGACATTCTTTACTCCTACACTTACCTAAGTAACGCGTTTTGCGTCTCACTCACTCCCTCCCAGCTGCATCGGCTTAAACGCCATCCAGCCGTCGATCGAATTGAACGGTCGAGATCGCTCGCACCCCTCATGACAATGACACCCGCCTTTCTCAACCTCTCCTCTGTCGTCTGGAAAGGCCTCGGGGGGCCGAACCGCGCGGGGGAAAATGTGATTATAGGCGTGGTGGACTCGGGTATTTGGCCGGAGCACCCCGCGTTTTCCGGGCGGGGGTACACCCGCCCGAAGAAGACCTGGCGGGGCAAATGTGTGGCGACCAAAGACTTTAAAGCCACTTCCTGCAATAACAAAATTATTGCCGCGCAATTCTTTTCCGCTGCTTACCTCAAGGCAAACAAGGGGTATCCCAAGGGGGAATACGCGTCCCCTAGAGACAGCACAGGTCACGGCACTTGGTGTGCTGGCGCTGCTGCCGGCAACAGCAATATTCCGGTTAGAATGAGCCCGGGGAGCCGCGTGATTGGTCGGATGAGCGGCATGGCCCCGCGGGCGAGAATAGCGGTGTACAAGGCGGTGTGGGGCGGGGAGAGCAGCGTGGGGGATGTCATGGCTGCAGTGGAGCAGGCAGTAAGGGACGGAGTGGATATTCTGCTGCTGCCCATTGGGAGTACCGATGATGACTACTTCAACTCCGCCTTTCTCCTCAGAGCAGTTCAGGTAGGGGCCTCTTCCTCCCTATGCCCCTCCCCCCCACCCCCCACTCCTCCCTTCGTTTTCATGGGAGAGAGTGGCGGTGTACAAGGCGGTGTGGGGCGGGGAGAGCAGCGTGGGGGATGTGATGGCTGCTGTGGAGCAGGCAGTGCGGGATGGAGTGGATATTCTGCTGTTACCCATTGGGAGTACCGATGATGACTACTTCAACTCCGCGTTCCTGCTCAGGGCTGTGCAGGTAGGGGCCACTTCCCCCCCTCCCCTCTCCCCCCCTTCTCCTTCCCCCCTCCCCACCCCTCCTCTCCCCCTCCACCCCCCTTTCCGCGCCTTCCCACCTCCTCCCATCCCGTGCTGGTAAGGGTGTGATGGTAAGGGCGGGGAGAGCAGCGTGGGGGATGTCATGGCTGCAGTGGAGCAGGCTGTGCGGGATGGAGTGGACATTCTGTTGCTGCCCGTCGGGAGCACCGATGATGACTATTTTAACTCCGCGGTCCTTCTCAGAGCCGTGCAGGTAAGGGCCGTTTTCCAGTTTCCTCATCCCTCGCCGCCCCCTCCCATCCCTGGCTGAAGTGGGGCTGTGCTGGTTGGTAAGGTGTGTAAGGCGGTGTGGGGCGGGGAGAGCAGCGTGGGGGATGTGATGGCTGCTGTGGAGCAGGCAGTGAGGGATAGAGTTGATATTCTGCTGCTGCGCATTGGGAGTGGATCTTCTGCTGCTGCGCATTGGGAGTACCGATGATGACTACTTTAACTCTGCGTTCCTTCTCAGGGCCTCAGTCCTTCTCACGGGCAGAGAGACGTGCAGGTAAGGTTACTCACGTGTGGAGCAGGCAGTGTGGGACGGAGTGGATATTCTGCTGCTGCCCATTGGTAGTACCGATGATGACTACTTCAACTCCGCGTTCCTCTTGAGGGCCGTTCAGGTTTGGTCCTCTTTCCGCCCTCTCCCTCTCCCCCGCACCCCTTCCCCCCTCCTCCCCTCTCCTCTCCCCCTCACCCCTCCTCCCCACCACCTCCCATCTCATGGTGATGGCTGCGGTTGAGCAGGCGGTGAGGAACGGCGTTGACGTGCTTTTATTGCCCATTGGGCGGTGAGGAACGGCGTTGACGTGCTTTTATTGCCCATTGGGCGGTGAGGAACGGCGTTGACGTGCTTTTATTGCCCATTGGGCGGTGAGGAACGGCGTTGACGTGCTTTTATTGCCCATTGGGCGGTGAGGAACGGCGTTGACGTGCTTTTATTGCCCATTGGGCGGTGAGGGTGCGTTGACGGCGTTTCATCCCTCCTTCCTTACATTCACCTCTTCACTCCCCCGTACATCCCCGTGTCTTCCTCCCTAATCAACGCCAGGCGGGCGTGTTTGTGGTGGCAGCAGCGGGCAACGAAGGCATGGCATCGGAAGCAGAGCAGCAGTGCACCTCCTGTACTGTGCTTCCATCCCTCCTCATGTTCACCTCTTCTCACGCCCTATTCCCCGTGTTCCCCTCCTCTCGCAACGACAGGCGGGCGTGTTTGTGGTGGCAGCAGCGGGGAATGAAGGCATGGCACCGGGGCTAAAGCAGCAGCGCACGCTCGCTAACGTGTCTCCATACATCTTCACTGTTGCTGCCAGGTGAATAACCAGGTTTCCAGGTGAAATATCGTTGTATCGGGTGAATAACCAGGTTGTCAGGTGAATACTGTTGCTGCCAGGTGAATAACCAGGTTTTCTCTGCTCGCCCTCTCTCCCTTCTCTCTCCTCCCTCCCCTTCCGTCCCTCCCCTCTTCCTCACACCAGCAACGTTCCAAGCGGGGGGCAAGCGAAGCTGACGCTGGGCAACAGGCGGGTGCGGGTACACGGGCATCACACAGCAAGGGAGAGGGAGACCCCACCACCCCACCAACCTTCCCCTTTTCGTCCCTCCCCTCTTCCTCACACCAACAACGTTCCAAGGGAGTGACAGGCAAAGATTCTGCTGGGCAACTGGCAGGGATACACGGGCATCACACAGCAAGGGAGAGGGAGACCCCACGTGTGATGAGTCGATTTTTAAGTCGACTCATCACACGGGTATCACACAGCAAGGGAGAGGGAGACCCCACGTGTGATGAGTCGATTTTTAAGTCGACTCATCACACGGGCATCACACAGCAAGGGAGAGGGAGACCCCACGTGTGATGAGTCGATTTTTAAGTCGACTCATCACACGGGCATCACACAGCAAGGGAGAGGGAGACCCCACGTGTGATGAGTCGATTTTTAAGTCGACCCATCACACGGGCATCACACAGCAAGGGAGAGGGAGACCCCACGTGTGATGAGTCGATTTTTAAGTCGACTCATCACACGGGCATCACACAGCAAGGGAGAGGGAGACCCCACGACCCCGACCAACCTCCCTCCCCTCTTTCCCTCTGCTCTTCGTCTCCCCATCCTCCCTCTATTTCCATTCCAGCAACGTTCCGAGGGAGTGGCAAGCAAAGATCACACCGGGCAACGGGCAGGGGTACTTGGGCATCACACAGCAAGGGGGAGGGGAGACCCCACCAACCTTCCTTTCATGTTTCCCTCTGCTCGCCCTCTCGTCCTCTTTGCCCCTCTCCTTTCCCCCTTGCCAGCAACATTCCGCGGGAGTGGCAAGCCAAGGTCACGCTGGGCAACGGGAAGGGGTACTTGGGAATCACACAGCAAGGGGGCGGCCTCAGAACCACCACCAACCTCCCTCCTCTGTTTCCCTCTGCACTTTCCCTTCCTGTGTCCCGTCTCCCCATCCTCTCTCCCCCTTGGCAGTGGCATTCCGCGGGAGTGGCAGGCCAAGATTACTCTCGGCAACGGGAAGGGGTACTTGGGAATCACACAGCAAGGGGGCGGCCTCAGAACCACCACCAACCTCCCCCTTGTGGATGCTAAGACCGCTGGCACTGCCAAAGCGGAAACTCAGGAGGTGAGGGCGGGAGGGTTGGGGAGGTGAGGGAGGTGAGGGGACGGTTCAGTGCGGTTCAGTGGGGTATGGGCGAGCAAAGGGAGTGTCATGGTGTAAGGAGCAGCAGCACAGCAAGGGGGCGGCCTCAGAAGCACCACCAACCTCCCCCTTGTGGACGCCAAGACCGCTGGCACTGCCAAGGCGGAAACTCAGGAGGTGAGGGGGGAAGGCTGAGGAGGTGAGATGCAGAAGTGAAGAGAGTATTAGGTGCTGGGTGCATTGGGGCATGCACGAAAGGGGGTTGACTTTGAGTCAACTCAGAAGTCAATGAGATGCAGAGGTGATGGGCGCCACCGTGCTGTGCTGGCACACCCTTCCCTGCTCCTCATTTTTCCTGCCTCCCTTAACCCCTTCCCACCGCTCTGTATCCAGGCGGAGCAGTGCAGAATGAGCATGCTCGACCCTGCAAAAGTGATGGGAGCAGCCGTGCTGTGCTGGCACGGCAGCGTGTCATTGGAGGAAAAGGCACCCACTCTATCCCCATTCCCTCCGCCCGCTTCCCACTCCGCCCCCATCCGCACTGCCGTCTCCACTCAACTCCTTCATCCCGCTCACTCAACGCCTCCAGCCCGCGCACTCAACTCCCATCCCTCTCACTCAACGCCTTCATCCCTCTCACTCAACTCCTTCATCCCGCTCACTCAACTCCTTCATCCCTCTCACGCAACTCCTTCATCCCGCTCACTCAACTCCTTCATCCCTCTCACTCAACTCCTTCATCCCTCTCACTCAACTCCTTCATCCCTCTCACGCAACTCCTTCATCCCTCTCACTCAACTCCTTCATCCCGCTCACTCAACTCCTTCATCCCTCGCACTCAACTCCTTCATCCCTCGCACTCAACGCCTTCATCCCGCTCACTCAACGCCGGCAGCCCGCTCACTCAACGCCTTCATCCCTCTCACTCAACTCCTTCAGCCCGCTCACGCAACTCCTTCATCCCGCGCACTCAACGCCTTCATCCCGCTCACTCAACTCCTTCATCCCTCTCACTCAACTCCTTCATCCCTCTCACGCAACTCCTTCATCCCTCTCACGCAACGCCTTCAGCCCTCACGCAACGCCTTCATCCCGCTCACTCAACTCCTTCATCCCGCTCACTCAACTCCTTCAGCCCGCTCACTCAACTCCTTCATCCCGCTCACTCAACTCCTTCATCCCTCTCACTCAACTCCTTCATCCCTCTCACTCAACTCCTTCATCCCTCTCACTCAACGCCTTCAGCCCGCTCACGCAACTCCTTCATCCCTCTCACTCAACTCCTTCAGCCCTCTCACTCAACTCCTTCATCCCTCTCACTCAACTCCTTCATCCCTCTCACGCAACGCCTTCATCCCGCTCACTCAACTCCTTCATCCCGCTCACTCAACTCCTTCATCCCTCTCACTCAACTCCTTCATCCCTCTCACGCAACTCCTTCATCCCTCTCACTCAACTCCTTCATCCCTCTCACTCAACTCCTTCATCCCTCTCACTCAACTCCTTCATCCCTCACTCAACCTTCATCCCTCTCACTCAACTCCTTCAGCCCTCTCACTCAACTCCTTCATCCCTCTCACTCAACGCCTTCATCCCTCTCACTCAACTCCTTCATCCCTCTCACTCAACTCCTTCATCCCTCTCACTCAACTCCTTCATCCCTCTCACTCAACTCCTTCATCCCTCTCACTCAACTCCTTCATCCCTCTCACAACTCCTTCATCCCTCTCACGCAACTCCTTCATCCCTCTCACTCAACTCCTTCATCCCTCTCACTCAACTCCTTCATCCCCTCACTCAACTCCTTCATCCCTCTCACTCAACTCCTTCATCCCTCTCACTCAACTCCTTCATCCCTCTCACTCAACTCCTTCATCCCTCTCACTCAACTCCTTCATCCCTCTCACTCAACTCCTTCATCCCTCTCACTCAACTCCTTCATCCCTCTCACGCAACTCCTTCATCCCTCTCACTCAACTCCTTCATCCCTCTCACTCAACTCCTTCATCCCTCTCACTCAACTCCTTCATCCCTCTCACTCAACTCCTTCATCCCTCTCACTCAACTCCTTCATCCCTCTCACTCAACTCCTTCATCCCTCTCACTCAACTCCTTCATCCCTCTCACTCAACTCCTTCATCCCTCTCACTCAACTCCTTCATCCCTCTCACTCAACTCCTTCATCCCTCTCACTCAACTCCTTCATCCCTCTCACTCAACTCCTTCATCCCTCTCACTCAACTCCTTCATCCCTCACTCAACTCCTTCATCCCTCTCACTCAACTCCTTCATCCCTCTCACTCAACTCCTTCATCCCGCTCACTCAACTCCTTCATCCCTCTCACTCAACTCCTTCATCCCTCTCACTCAACTCCTTCATCCCTCTCACTCAACTCCTTCATCCCTCTCACTCAACTCCTTCATCCCTCTCACTCAACTCCTTCATCCCTCTCACTCAACTCCTTCATCCCTCTCACTCAACTCCTTCATCCCTCTCACTCAACTCCTTCATCCCTCTCACTCAACTCCTTCATCCCTCTCACTCAACTCCTTCATCCCTCTCACTCAACTCCTTCATCCCTCTCACTCAACTCCTTCATCCCTCTCACTCAACTCCTTCATCCCTCTCACTCAACTCCTTCATCCCTCTCACTCAACTCCTTCATCCCTCTCACTCAACTCCTTCATCCCTCTCACTCAACTCCTTCATCCCTCTCACTCAACTCCTTCATCCCTCTCACTCAACTCCTTCATCCCTCTCACTCAACTCCTTCATCCCTCTCACTCAACTCCTTCATCCCTCTCACTCAACTCCTTCATCCCTCTCACTCAACTCCTTCATCCCTCTCACTCAACTCCTTCATCCCTCTCACTCAACTCCTTCATCCCTCTCACTCAACTCCTTCATCCCTCTCACTCAACTCCTTCATCTCTCTCACTCAACTCCTTCATCCCTCTCACTCAACTCCTTCATCCCTCTCACTCAACTCCTTCATCCCTCTCACTCAACTCCTTCATCCCTCTCACTCAACTCCTTCATCCCTCTCACTCAACTCCTTCATCCCTCTCACTCAACTCCTTCATCCCTCTCACTCAACTCCTTCATCCCTCTCACTCAACTCCTTCATCCCTCTCACTCAACTCCTTCATCCCTCTCACTCAACTCCTTCATCCCTCTCACTACCAACTCCTTCATCCAGTCCCTCTACCCCTCAAACAACCCCTCTCCCCCCTCTCTTCCCCCCCCCCCTCCCGCCACCGCTGTTATCAGGCGGAGCAGTGCAGAATGGGCATGCTCGACCCTGCCAAGGTGATGGGAGTGGCGGTGCTGTGCTGTCATGCCCTTCCCCTCTCCTCATTTCCCCTGCCTCCCCTTACCCCTTCCCACCGCTCTGTATCCAGGCGGAGCAGTGCCGCATGGGCACTCTAGGTGTAGCCAAGGTGATGGGAGCAGCCGTGCTGTGCTGGCACGGCAGCGTGTCATTGGAGGAAAAAGCACTCACTCTCTCCTCATTCCCTCCGCCCGTCTCCCCACTCCCCACTCCGTTCCCCCATCTGCCCTGCCCTCTCCTTCCACCTCCCCCACTTTGTGCTGGCACGGTAGTGTGTCGTTGGAAAGAGGAGAAGGCGCTGACTCTATGCCCTCTCCCTCCCCTCTCCGCTCCACTCCGCGTGCATTGAGCGCGTGCCATTGGAAAGAGGAGAAGGCGCTGACTCTACTCTATTCCCCCCTCTTCCTGTACTTCCTCTTCTTTCCCGTACAGGCGGAGCAGTGCAGAATGGGCATGCTAGACCCTGCCAAGGTGATGGGAGCAGCGGTGCTGTGCTGGCACGCCCTTCCCTGCTCCTCACTTCCCCTTCCCCACCTTAACCCCTTTCCACCGCTCTGTATCCAGGCGGAGCAGTGCCGCATGGGCATGCTAGACCCTGCCAAGGTGATGGGGGCGGCGGTGCTGTGCTGGCACGGCAGCGTGTCATTGGAGGAGAAGGCGCTGACGGTGCAGACGGCGGGCGGCAAGGCGGTGCTGCTGGTGGTGCAGAGTCCAAGTCAGTACGTGCGATCGGTGACCGGAACGTTCCCGGGGGTGACCTTTGGCATGACCATATCGCAAGCCATCAAGGACTATCTCAAGAGCGCCACCAAGTAAGTGATGAGGTAGGCCCACACACAGCAGGGATAGAAGAGCAAGGCGGTGCTGCTGGTGGTGCAGAGTCCATGCCAGTACGTGCGATCAGTCACAGGGACGTTCCCTGGAGTCACTTTCGGGATGACCATATCGCAAGCCATCAAGGATTATCTGAGGAACGACTTTACCACCAAGTAAGTGATTAGGCAGGCTCACAGCAGGCAGGGATAGCAAGGCGGTGCTGCTGCTGGTGCTGCTGCCGCTGATGGTGGTGCAGACAGCAGGGATAGAAGAGCAAGGCGGTGCTGCTGGTGGTGCAGAGCCCAAGCCAGTACGTTTGGTTGGTCACAGGGACGTTCCCGGGGGTGACTTTTGGCATGACCATCTCTCAAGCCATTAAGGACTATCTCAAGAGCGCCACCAAGTAAGTAAGCTGCTTCTCATCTGTTCAATTCAGGCATGCTGTTGCTGCCTGCGGGTAGCAAGGGGGTGCGGCTGCCAGCGCTGCTGCTCGTGGTGCAGCACGTGCCCTCAGAGCGCAAGGAGGTACGCTCCGTGCCCTTACCAAGGACTATCAAGGACGCGTAGGAACGTCCCTGCCCTGCTACCGGCGCTGCAAGGGGGTGAAGCACGTGCCCCCAGGGGGTGAAGCACGTGCCCCCAGCAGTGCATATTCCCTGCGGCAGAGACGTTCCTAAGCGTCACTGCTGCCATACTCGCAGAAGCCATGGCATCACCCTTGCTCACACTCCCCTCCTCTCACCATCCCATTTCACCACCACCCCCCCACCCCACACCCCCACTCCCTCACACCCTCCCCTCCCCTATCCCCCCAGGCCGACGGTCTCTATCTCCCCCATCCTCTACCCCCTCCCCAAGGGCACGCTCGCACCAGTGATGGCCTACTTCTCCTCTTCCGCTCTTCGCAAGCCCCACATTCCCTCACCTCACGTATCCTCTTACCACCCCCCCACCCCTCGCCACCCCATCCCCAGGCCCACGGCTTCAATCTCCCCCATCCTGTACACCCTCCCCAAGGGCACGCTTGCGCCAGTGATGGCCTACTTCTCCTCCGGCCCGCCCCTCGACCCCTGGGTCTCCACGCCCAAGAACCCCTCCCTCGTCCGCTTCCCCTCTTTAACTCTGTCCTCTCCCCCCCCATCCTCCCAGGCCCACAGTGTCTATTTCCCTCATCCTCTACACCCGTCCTAAGGGAACCCTAGCACCAGTCATGGCCTACTTCTCCTCCTCACCCTCCCTTCCTCTCCCCGTGCACGCCTCCCTTTTCCAACCCCCCCAGGCCCACGGTCTCAATCTCCCCCATCCTGTACACCCTTCCTAAAGGGACCCTAGCACCGGTCATGGCCTACTTCTCCTCCTCCGGCCCCCCTCTCGCCCCTGGGTCTCCACGCCCAAACTCCCCCCCAATCCGCTTCCCCTCCTTCCCTCTGTCCTCTCTCCCCACACCCCCCCGCCAGGCCCACGGTATCAATCTCCCCCATCCTCTACACCCGTCCTAAGGGAACCCTAGCACCGTTCATGGCCTACTTCTCCTCGGGTCCGCCTCTCGACCCCTGGGTCTCCACGCCCAAGAACCCCACCGTCACCAACGCCATCCTCAAACCCGACATTACAGCTCCCGGCCTCGCTCTCCTCTCCTCCACCAACCGATTCCCTTTCTTGTTTTCTCTCCCCCTTTCCCCCCTGCCCCCTCACTTACCCCAGGCCGACAGTCTCAATCTCCCCTATCCTCTACACCCGTCCTAAAGGAACCCTAGCTCCGGTCATGGCCTACTTTTCCTCCTCGGGTCCGCCCCTCGACCCCTGGGTCTCCACCCCCAAGAACCCCACCGTCACCAACGGCATCTTAAAGCCCGACATCACCGCTCCAGGCCTCGCCCTCGTCTCCTCCACCAACTCCGGCAACGCCGCTTCCCCGGGCTTTAAGTTAGACAGCGGCACCTCTGCTGCGGCTTCCGTCGCCGCGGGTGTGGCGGCGCTGCTGATTCAGAAATACCCGAGTTGGACCCCCGGAATGGTGAAATCGGCTTTAATGACGACTGCTTCGGTGAAGGACATGTGGGGGAAGGGGATTCGCTCGTGGGATTGGACGTACGCGTCGCCGTGGCAGTTTGGCTCGGGGCATATTACCCCGGGAAAATCGCTAAATCCGGGGCTAGTTTACGACGTTCGGGCAGCGAACTACATTAATTTCCTCGCGGGATTGGACGAGAAAAAGGCCAAGGCGGCTTTTCCGGCAGCGGCTCTGTCCCCTATCGAGACGTACAACCTGAACCAGCCGAATATCGCTATAGGGAGGATGAAACAGACGCTGAACGTGACGCGGTGGGTGACCAACGTGGCGTTTAAAGCGTCGACTTATAAGGTGTATCTGGTGAAGCCTGATGGGGTGAGTGTGTCTGTATCCCCGTCGACGCTGACTTTAAAGCCCAGGCAGAGGGCGGCGTATAACGTGACGATTATTCCCAAGGCGGTTCAGAAGAACTTCACGTTTGGGAGCATCACATGGAAGGATAGCGTGCATGAGGTGCGGAGCGTGCTGGCTGTGCAGCCCATTGAAAAGAAATCCAAGTGAGGGTGTTTGGGTTTAGGGGGCGGGCGGGGGTGTTGGCGGTGCTGCCGATTGTGGAGTAACCTCACCTTGAGGGATAAGGGGGATTCTGTGAAGCAAAGGCCCAGAGCAGTGCAAGGTTAGGGATGGGGTTGAGAAGTACAGGAGTGGATGATTCGAGGGAAGGGCGGCGTGTATGAGGTGCAGTGCACGGCGTGCTGGCTGTGCGGTGGAGTTTTGAGGCGCCTCAAAACTAGACTTCTCTCACGCAGATTACGTGTATGAGGTGCAGTGCACGGCGTGCTGGCTGTGCAGCCCATTGCGGTTCAAGCCAGGGTTGAAGCAGTGTGTGCAGAGGTTGCGAGGTGTGGGAAGCGGTGGCCGGGCAACCTGGAGTGGTGACGGTGTGTGGTGAGGCAAGCCTTGAGGCAAGGCATGGGGCAAGGTATGGGGGGAAACTCGGGGAAATAAAGCGGGTATTCTAGGTTGGGGTGGGGTGGGGAGGGGTGTGCGGTGGGGTGGGTTGGGGTTAGGTGCAGGCGGTGAGGTGCATGGTCCTGTGGAGCTTCTTCTGAGAAGTGATCAGGTTTATGTGCTCTGTATTTCAGTCGTGGTTCTTGCAGTTGCGGGTGTGAGCTGGAATGAGGATGTTCTTTTGGTCCTTTTGTTGCTGGTTCTGGTGAGCTGAGCTGCAAACAACCTTGGTTTGAGTTTCCAGTGCTGACTGAGAAGCGCTTAACTCCTTGTTGAGTGACTTTTGCTAACCTGCAGGATGTGTTGTAGTGCTCATGTTATAGGGTGGCTAACTAAGGTTAACTACTGGTAAATGTCGCTGACAATACTTGGTTATATTTATTATTGTGTCTTTCTTTGCGATGAAGATCGTGTGTTCTCTACAGATCGTAAAACACTTACACTAAGCCTATGCTGGTTTTTAAACCGGAGTCCCAAACAGACCCAAACTGCCTCAACCTTCCTAACTTTGGGAAGGTGTGACCCAGTAGGTACCAACTCAGTTCGCAAAAATGATATTTTTTTAAAGTGTAATGAAATGTAACACTTTTTTAAATTTTGTATTGTGAAAAGGGGTACGTGGCCAACACAGCAAAGGTAGCGCCGAAGCGCTACTCACCCTCTTTTGCCTACAAAAGAGGGACGTGGGGACATTCGTCCCCACCCACGTTTTCATTTTCAAAATTGTAGTTCTAATTTCCCACCCGCCCACCCATTTATATATGTTGTTATGTAGACATATATATGACGAGAACGATGTACTAGAACCCATATGAAATGATAACGCTGTCTTTGTCAGTCGGCCTAAGTACACTTTCACAATCAGGGGACAAATTTCGTCACGCGAAATTACTGTTCGAGCTCTGACGACAGCAGTGAAAATTCGCAAACAAATTTAGAGCCCGTCCGAAACTAGTTGCGTTCTGACGTTGCATTTTAGATCTGGTTATACTCGCGAATTGTTTTTCCCTTCGCGACCCCAGCCCGCCGATTTCGATACACAACCAGGTTCGCGAGCCAATAGCGTTTCCTGGCCCAACCAACCTTCCTAACTTTGTGAGTCTTGGACCTCCGGTTTTAAGCTACACGGCCTTTCCTCGCTAGCGGAGAATGTCCTGAATGGCGGATGTCAATCAGCCACAAACGAAAGGGTTGCCACGTGTAAGGCAGTTACATCGAGGTCGTCTTGCACATCGCGGCCAGACGGTTAACCGTCACACATCAACCCGTCAGCGACTGCACGGTCATTCGCCCTTGTTCGCCGCAATTTTGCGAAAGCGGGAGAGTCGAGTCGTGGCTTCGTGTGTCAGTCTCTCGGCCAATAATGTCACAAGTCACTCTCTGATCTGTTTAGCAGAGCTGCGCGCCATGCTATTGAAACCCAGGGGCGCTTCGGCTGCCCCTCGTTTCCGCCAATTTTTCAGTTTCAGTTCAGTCACAGACTCGTTGGACGGACACGGGGTAAAGGGTGATTTTCCAGTCAGGCTCCTCCCCCCCTCCCCGCGTTGGTCCCTTCCCCCCCCCCCTCCCCCCCCACCCCCTGTACTTTCCCCCTTTTCACCAGCATTCCTGGATCCGCCTTTCCTCGCTCGCACCCGCACATCCACCCTTCCTTTGCCCCCTTTCGCTCCGCACACCCCGTTTGGCTGGTTGCCTTGAGGTTGGATCTACAGTATCGCATCAACATTGAAGCTCGCGGATGGCTTCCCCTCGTTTAGTACGGTTGAGTACGTTCTTTCGCGCTTTGAGTGTCTGACTGTTATTCAAGCAGTTCATATACAGTGTGAGTTCTGGAACCCGTGTGGCGTACTCTCCTGCTCCTTCATCCCTTCGTAGCCTTCCTGCTGCTATCCTGCCAAACCGTGCAGGGCACAGCAGCAGCAGTGGCCCAGGTTGCACCACCACACAGCACACAGCCGAAGGGTTCTTACCTTCCGGGGACTTGTGTTGCAGTTGCTTTGTTCAAGTTCGCGGCTAGCTTAGTGTCTGACTGTTAGACCTTGCCTGCCCTCGGCGTTACGTCATCCAGTTCAAGTGTACGCAACGCGTGGCGGTTTTAAGGATATAGCAGTAGGTAACTTAAGTCCGAGGTAGCTAAAATGTGTATTTATTGCTCCGTATCATGCGACCTGTTCTTTGTTAGATCCATTGGCGACGTCTCCCCTAATAGTCCCAACCTTGCCTTAAATCTGTAACAGACTTAGCACCATTCCCTTCACATCGCCAGATTAGACTCTCCTTCACCCACCATGCGACGGTCAGGATCTTCTGCATCCAGCGGCGGTCGGCCGTTGGATGAAGACGACGAGCCAATGCACGAGGACGACATAAACGGCATCATAGAGCGCCTTCGCAACCAGCACTGGGCAACGGCGAATCAAATGTCTCGAACTCAATCTTTAACGCCCAATCCAGCCGCTAGTTTTACGTCCGGCGACGACTACGATCGTTATGGCGACAGGCACGGCGACAGGTTAAGCGACAGGTTGGGCGACAGTCTAGCCGACAGACTAAGCGACAGGTATGGAAGCAGGCCGACTACACCCCGGTCCGGAGATAGAGAAGCGACACGCGTTGGCGACAGGCTGGGCGACAGGTTAAGCGACACGTTCGGTGACAGGTTAGGCGACAGGTTGAGCGACAGGTTGAGCGATGCGGCGTCGCTGCCATTGCGGACGCAGACGAGCGCGTCGGTGCACCTTTTATCGAGTGTGATTCACCAGGAGGTTCTCCCCGCGCTTCTGAACGACAAGACGACGACAGCAGCATATTTGAGCGATAAAGCTAGGGCTAGTCGGCAGGTTAAGTGGAAGGATTTGGAGCGGGATGGTGTAGGGAGGGCAAGTAGCGTGGTGGTTAGCGAAGTTGCGGACGAGTATGGGAAAACCGGCCTGGATTACCATCGGCGAACAATAAGCAACAGCGGGATTCTTAAATCGGAGCAGCGGCCGGGGACTCCATCCTCGTTAGTGGCTTCCTCAAGTTCGTCTACAGTGGCTTCTGCTATGGAGCAGACGCGTATTGTGGCGAAGGAAGCGGTGAGAGTTGACTTGATAGTGGAGGATCTGCAGGAGCAGCTTCGCCGGGCGCAGAACGAAGCTTCCGCCGCGCAAGACGAGTGCGCGGAGTTGCGCCGGGGGCTGCAGTCCGCCTGGGAGGACGTGCGGGAGCTTGAGGGGAAGTTTGAGGGGCAGCGGCGGGAATTGGAGGCGCAACGGCGGGATGCGGAGGCGGAGCGGCGGGAGAATGAAGCGCGGCGGAAAGTGCACTTCGAGGCGCAGGAGCGGGAGCTTCAGGAGCGGTGGCAGGCGGAGTTGCGCCAGCAGCGGGAGCAGTGGCAGGCGCAGCTGCAATCGGCGCAAGATGACGCGCGGATGCTCCGGGCGGAGAACGACGCCCTCCGCGGAGGGGCGGAGCTTTCCCGAGAACGGCTGGGCTCCGCACTGGCGGAAAGCCGCGAGCTGGAAGACGGGCTGCGCGCAGCGGAGGCGGAGAGGCGGAAAGCGGAAGAGAGTTTCAAAGCAACAAATGCGCAGATGGTGGAGTTGCGCGCAAGTGCGGAGGAGATGCGCGCGCGGCTGGTGAAGGAGCAGGAGCGCGCGGCGGACTTGGCGCTGGAGAACGGGAGGTTGCGCGGGGAGGTGCGCCAGTTGGCGAGCGCAAACGCGGAGCTCCGGCAGTTGGAGGAGGCGGCTCAGGCGGCGCAGGCGGAGCTGCGGAGAGCGCTTGAGGAATGCGCGGAACAGCGGGAGCAGGTCCGCGCGCTGGCCACCAAAGGCGCGCAAACTCAGAAGGAGCTTGCGGAAGCGCGGGAGGAGAACGCGGAGCTTTTGGGGGAGCTCGCGGAAGCGAAGGGGAGAAACGAGGGCCTGCAAAAGCGGCTGGACGCGGCGACTCTCTCGCGCGGAGGCGGAGGCGGAGGCGGCGGACCGGGCGCGGATAGCCTCCGTGTGGGCGGAATGGCGGTAGATGGGGAGGCGGCGCAGGCGTTGAAAGCGGAGCTTGCGGTGATGGTCAGGAGAAATGAACAGATGAGGAGAGACCTGGAGCTTGCCTGCCGGGAGATCAGGCACTGGCAACGGCAAGCCGAGTCGCAGGTGAAAACGCAGGGGGCCGGGGCGGAGAGGAAGGAGGGTGAATCCTGCAGCTGCGGCGGGTTCGGCGGTAGTAGCCCGGCTAGCAACGCCTCCCCCAGGCTGGCTCGGCCCGGAGCAACCAGGCTCGGCAACCTACGCAGCCCCGGCGACGGTTCGGTCGTAGGCTCGGAGCTGGGTAGCCCGGCGGCAGGTGGCGGTGGTGGTGAAGGTGCTACTGGGGGAGGTTTATCTGGGGGTAATAAGGGCCCCGTGGATTCGCTTTTGGTCCTACTGCGGCAAGAGAATGATCGGTTGCGCGGGTCTCTTAAAGAAGCAGAGGCGCGGATAGAAGCTCTTAACGCGGATGTAGTGACGGCGGAGGCAGCATTGGCGGCAGCCCAGTCAGCAAGGGACGCTGCTGAGTCAGCGAGAGTGGCTGCTGAGTCAGCGAAGGAGGTGGCAGAGGCGGGGAAAAAGGTGGCGGAGGAGGGGAGGCTGCAGGCGGAAGAGGGGAGGCGGAAGGCGGAGGAGGGGAGGAGGCGGGCGGAAGAAAGTGTCCTGCGGAGCATTCTGGGGGAAAGGGAGAGGAGAGAGGCGGAGAAGGGGCGGCAGAGCGGAGGGGAGAGGGCAGAAGATGGGGGATACACGTATAGGATGGGTAGTACCGTAAGTTCCCCCTGCGGCCACAAGGTAGCTGGTTCAGCTGCACCGGGTTACTCCCCAGCGGGTGCACACGAAGCTGGAATATCCAGGGTAATTAACCCTGGAGAAGGTGTATCTCGGAGTTTGCTGGAGATGGCGTGTCGACCGCTGGAGCGGACGATTGGTATCCGCGGGAGCAACAGTAGTGTGCTGAGCGGCTGTAGCACGGCGAGCGGCAGCAGTATTATCACGCACGGCAGCATGGGCAGCAGCAGCATCAGCAGCAGCGGCAGCAGCAGCAGCAGCAACAGCAGCGGAAGCAGCCTTACTTGGTGTCCCGAATACCTCTCTGGTGGCAGTGGCGGGGGGTTATCGTTAGTAGGGGCAGCGGATGGGAAGGGAGGGGTGGGCGCAGTAAGCGGCGGAGGGGGTAGTGAACAGAAGGGCAAGTGGGAGCAGGGATTGGTGAGCGGAGGGGCAGGGGTGGTGGTGGAAGGGAACAGTAACGGTCAGCTTATTGAGCAACTCAATAAGGAGAACCGCGGGTTGAAGACGCTCGTCCGCTTCTTGCAGACGATGCTGGTGAAGCAGGAGGAGGAGGCGTCCCTTATCAAACGAGAGCTGGAGGAACTGCGGCGACAAGCAGGGTTAGGTGGAGGAGCAGGAGGAGGCGCAGGGGCAGGGGCAGGGGCGGGGGCAGGAGTACAGGAAGTTACGCCTCTCAGCAGTCCTGCCAAGCCTGGTTCGGAGGCTCGGGCGCGGAAGCAGGAGGAGGCCGCCAAGGCAGCTGCTTCGGGAGGTGCTGGGGCTGCACGAGCTGAAGCAGCAGCAGGAGCTGTGGAAGCAGAGCGGGTGCAGCTGCGGGCGCGGATTGAGTTTCTGGAGAGGGAATTGTGGGTGGCGGAGGAGAGGCTGCGTCGGACCGAGGAGAAGGCAGCAAGATTAGAGAGCGAGCTTGAGAAGTCGCAATCCGAAGCTGCTGCTGCCCGAGCCAATGCCGAAGCTGCCCGCGAGGTTATTTCCGAGGCTGAGCGCCGGGCTTCCGAGGCTGAGCGCCGGGTTACCGAGGCTACAGCTCGGGCGTCCAGAGCGGAAACGGATGCTCGGGTGTCAAAAGCGGAGGCTGAGGCTCGGATGTTCCGGTCTTCAGGGACTGATGCTGGTCAGGTCGCCCAAGCTGAGGCTCGGGCAGCAGAAGCCGAGGCTCGGGCGAGGGAAGCCGAGGCACGGATAACGGACCTGGAGGCTCGGCACGAGGAGCTGACGCTTCAGCTACGAGCAGCGAAGGCCCGGACGGAAAAGCTGAGCATGCGGGTGGTGCATGCGGCACACGGCGACAAACGGCACGCGGAAGAATCAGCAGCGTTTGCGGAGGCGAAGCAGAAGACTCTGATCCAGCTGGCTGAAGAGGTGGAGGTGCTGAGAGATGAAGCGAGGGAGGCGAGAGCTGCTGCCAAGGCGAGGGAGAGGGAGGCCGCGAGGAGCAGAGAGGAGCTGGCGAAGGTGAAGAGGTGGATGGCTGGACGGGCTGGGAGAGGAAGGGCGGGGGCAGCTGCTGGGGGGGAGAATGTGTGGGGAGGAGGGGGGAGTGCTGGGGGGAGTGGAGGGGGGGGCGGCGGGGGAGTGGGTGGAGGGGGGAGCTCCTCGGGGGGGAATGGGCAAGGGGAAGGGGGAAATGTTGGGGTTGTGGTAGGAGAGAGGGGTGGTGGTGGTGCTGCTGGGGGAGGTAGGGATAGTGGGAGTGGGGGTGGTGAGGAGGATGGGGGGGGTAGCCCTAGTGGATTGTGGGAGGGGCATCAGCAGGATCTGCGGTTTGGCGATATGCTCTCGTGGCCGTTTGATCTCGTGCTGCCGTCGAAGTTTCTTGGGAGTGGGTATCAAAATCCCTGACTGCGGGTATAGATCGCATTGTGTGTTACGGGAGAAAGCTGGGTATGGTGCTGAGGAGGTAAGCATGCTCGTGACTGCAAGGGTGCATTTGATGGGTGAGATGGACCCAACTGCAGGTAACAGTCTTGTCCTTATTGCACTATCTTGTGCATTTCAGAGGGCAATAACTTATAACCTTATTTGACCTCGAAACTTCCAAGGTTGCTTGTGTTCATTTGTCTAACTTCTCTGACATCCCTCTAAATTTGTTAACAATGTTACTCATTTCTAACTCAATTATAGCTATCTATTCATATTGACCTGTTATGACCATGCTTCAAAATTAATCACGTAACGAGTTTCGCACACGCATCGTGCGCTGATGGGCGACTGCCACGCCAAATCCGCTATAAGGTTGGCATGTGTGTTCCCAGAAATGTGGAACGTATTGGCGCGGAAAGATCTCAGAACCGAAAGTCGTGTCGCTCGCATTTGTTCGCACACGGCACCGACATTTCCCTCTCCCTGGGGCGAGGGACCGAAAGCACGAACGAAACGGTAACGACTACCGTTGTTGGAGAATTTGGAACCGCGTGTGGTCCCCCCGAACATACAATTGACGTTGACGGAAAATGTATGCGACTTATTCGCCGCAATCCGCGCTGACCACGTAACTGGTCAGGTGCCAGAAAGAAGCTTCGAATGTTTCCGAAGCTCGACTTTCGTGCAGAAGCACGCTTCCGAACCTCATTTCGTGGCCCGGCGGAACATTTAGGCTGCCATGGCATCATGGCATGGAAAAGACATGCAGATGAACATAATGGAAACGGCAACAGCGATTCGTTTTCGCAGGCACCTGATAACCTGCAGGCTTCAGGTTTCTTCTTGGGCACCACAGCGCTTCGTGTCACTTCTCCCCTCCACCACCTCGTCCAGCTTACACCTGTCAACCGTTCACACGATTTCGATTCAAACACCACGGTGCGTTGCGTTTCAGAACGGTAGAACCAAACGGGGTCCCTCTGTACACTCAGCTTGAGAAGGCTCTGGAGTCGCATACACATGATGCCCGGTTGAGCCCCCCAACTTTGGCCTACCCCATGTGCGTATAAGTGATTCTGCATTTTGTAACTCACCGTTGACTGTTTGACTGCAGTCTCATCAGTCAGACTTCCGTTTCTGTGGCTCTTATTGGTCGACGTGCTTGTAACGTAGGTGCAACTTCGCGGCAAGAAACCCACGGGTGCAAGGTTTCTGAAACGTACAAGGCAATTTCGCGTGCACGGGTTGGGCATCGACTGTACAATGGAGAACAGTAAACATCGAACATCAACAACGCACACTGTAGATATAACTTGAAAATACGCACTTTACCACCATTCGGTGTTGTACGGTGCTTTGCTGCTGTGTCTCCCTCTCCTCACCTAGGGTCTGGCAGGGTCGTGACTTGGGCATGGAAAGGACAGATCATCACGGGATGGCAAGTGCCTGCGTGTGACCCATTTCGGTTCCCTGATTCGGCATATGACCCCCCCAAGTTCAGTAGCAGAGTGTGTGCCATGTCGTGTCGTGGCCCATGACCCCGAAGCTCTTGCGGTGGGGTTGGTGGAACATTGAGCCGTAATGCCCGTCTCTCTCTGCGAGCCGCTTCTCTTATTCGAAACTTCGGAATTGCTCAGTTGCACGGCATTTTAGGGTTTCGCCGTTCTGATACGTAGTGCTTACTGCCTGGCTTCTGTTTCGCGTCATTTCTGCCTCCAGAGTCTTAGAGATCTTGCGAGCAGCTAATCACACTTATAACGCGCAACAGTTTTGGAACGCGCTGCCGCATTTCGCTCCACAATCCAAGTTGCCTTGTTCTAGTACGTGGCGCGTGCTGCAGTTTGTGACGCCTCCGTGCGACCGATTTGTCCTGTCGTACTGTCACTTCCGTGCGACCGAGTCGTCCTGACGCTTACTTTCGCTCCCGTGCGATCGGGTCGTCCTGTCGCCATTGAGATGTCAACGAGCGTCTTTTCTTTCTTTACAGTTCTCGGGTTTGAGCAGTATCCATTTGTAGTGCCTAATGTATGGGCGTAGATGCTCACAGCAATATCGCGGATAAATTGAACTTTTGCGAGACTATCATCAACGGTCCCGTACGAGTTGGCAATATCGGGGATAAAATACACCTCGCGGAGGGCCATCGCGCTTCACCATGGCACGGAAAACCCACACCGCACTGTTACCGCTGTTCCTAACTCTGCTTGTTTCGGCGACCCTTGTAACGCGTACAAACACGGAATCGCAGCCGTCCTCTTCCTCCTCCGCCGCCGCCTCGATTTCCCGCCACGTGTCGCTGGGGTCCGTGAGCTACGGCCGGCAGCTGTACACGGTGTACATGAAGGCGCTGCCGCCCGTGATAAGTTATCACGGCGGCGTGGACGGGCTACAGGCGACGGCTACAGCCGCTGCTACAGAGGAAGAGGAGGAGGAGGAGGGAGAGGAAGAGGGAGAGGAGGAGGCGGAGGAGGAGGAGAATGTAAAATTGGAAAATGAAAGAAGCAGACGAGGGGAGGCTGGTGATTACGATTATCGGGATTATTACGGGGATTATAGAGATAGTGATAGTAGCGAGGGTGGTAATGAGAGACGGGATGGTTACAAGGAAGGGGGCGATAGGTCGGTTAGGGATGCGATAAAAGATCGGAATGGCGGTAGCTGGAAGGGAGGGAAGGGTGACGAAGGAATTTCGGCTATGCAGATTGACGAAAGACGGTTACAAGAGGAACCGTTACAGGAGGCACTGTTCGAGGAGGAACCAGGGTTACAAGAGGAAGGGTTACCCGCAGGAGACTCGCGAACAGAGGATTCCCGAGGTAGGAGGAAGCTGTTACAGGCGGGAAAACAAGGTGTAGAAGCGAACCACGCACCATCGAGACAGACACAGCATCGTCGTCTGCGCGAAAAACGGTTACAAGGCGAAGGGTTACAAAAGGCGAGGTTTCGGGAGAGACGAAAACCGGAAAGACGGTTACGAGCGGGCGCGCTAATGGGCGGCAGCATTCGTCGGGATTTGAAAGGCAGCAGCGGGGGAAGCGGCGGGGGAAGCGGCGGGGGAAGCGGCAAGTCAAAGGAGAGAGCCAAGGCGCATCGACCGGACCCGACATCCCCGCACGTTAAAGCGTACGCGCAGCATTTGAGATCCACACACGAGGAGACGCTAGCAGATATCGGACTAAGCGGCTCGGACTTGGTCTATAGCTACCACTACGTAGCTAACGCGTTCGCGGCGCGACTTACGTCAGAGCAGGTCCGGCTATTAAAGCGGCATCCTGGCGTGCACCGCGTTTCGCGGATGCGATCGCTTCGACCAATGATGACGCATGTGCCCGAATACCTGCAGCTGCCCCGGACCACCTGGGCCGCGTTTGGCGGCGCGGGATACGCGGGCGAAAACACTGTTATCGGATTCGTCGACTCGGGGATATGGCCGCAGCACCCATCATTCTCGGGTCGCGGTTATACCGGGTCGCAACTTCTGACGGGGTGGCGCGGGGTTTGTAACTTGACGCGTGACTTTAACGGGTGTAACAATAAGATCGTCGGAGCGCGGTTCTATATGGACGGATTTCTACAAGAGTACGGCGAAGGCGCGTTGGCGAAGGGGGAGTACCGGTCGCCGCGCGACGCCATGGGGCACGGCACGTTTTGCGCGGGGTGAGTCTTGGGCCGCGGGGCACGGGGCACGGGGCACAGGGAAAAGGTTGCTGGGTAAGGGGCGCGGGGCAAGGGGCATGGCGCACGGGGCACTGGACGCCTGACCATGGGGCATGGGGTGTGGGACGCCATGGGGCACGGCACGTTCTGCGCGGGGTGAGTCTTGCGGCGCGGGGAGCGGGGCGTGAAACGCGCGGCAAGGGGTAAGGGGCGCTTGGCGCGGGGCAAGGAGTCCTCTTTCCCCCTCCCTCCCTTCCGTTTTCTCGCTCCCCCCACTCCTATTTCCTCCTCCCCCAAAATCCCCTCCCGCGTTTCCACATTCTCCCTGCCCCCGTCTCATCTTCCCCCTCCCCCCGTCGCATCTTTCCCCGTTCCCCTGTCTCATCTTTCCCAAATTTGTTCTCCCCCCCCAGCGTCGCGGCGGGGAACGCGGGAGTGAAGGTCAACTACGCCACTCTCGGGTCGCTCAGCGGCGTGGCGCCTCGCGCGCGCATCGCGGTGTACAAAGTGATCTGGGGAGGCATGAGCAGCCTCGCTGACGTCATGGCTGCTGTGGAAGACGCGGTGAAGGACGGTGTTGACGTGTTGTCGCTAGCGGTTGGCGGCACGGACGACAATTATTTCAACTCCATTTTCCTGCTACGGGCTGTTCAGGTGGGTGTGGGTGTGGGCGTGGGTGTATATTTGGTGGCTCAAAAAGACGCGGTGAAGGACGGGGTTGACGTGTTGTCGCTAGCGGTCGGCGGCAGGGACGACAACTATTTCAACTCCAACTTCCTTCTACGGGCCGTTCAGGTGGGTGGGTGTATAATTTCTTTGTGACTCAAAAAGATGCAAACGACGACGATGACGTGTTGTCGCTTGCCGTGGGCGGCACGGACGACAACGATTTCAACTCCATCTTTTTGTTACGTGGGGTTCAGGTGCGTGGGTGGGTGTATCCCTGCACATGTATATATGCCTACGCATGTGTAATTGTATGTATATGCTGTATACACGTGTTTTATTCATTTGTGGACACCGTTTTTACTGTAGTTTATTCTCTTTCCCTCTCCTGCACTCTTACTACAGGCGGGTGTGCTGGTGGTGGCGCCAGCAGGCAACAACGGGCCTCCCCCAACGCCCACCTATTGGCGCACTCTAACGAATGTCGCTCCCTATATTCTCACAGTAGGAGCAAGGTAAGACAGAAGAGGGAAGGAGTGAAGAGGGAAACACGAGACAATACGGGGCATGGGGTGGGTACGGATGGGGGTTGGGGGGAGGTGGAGGAGGGAAGGATGGGAGTGGGGGAGGTGGGAAAAGGGAAATTATGGGTAATGGGACTGACAGTGAAGGAGACATGCAATAATGGATGTTCCTTTGGTGGGGGGACCAATAGTTGTCCACCCTCACGCTGTGGGAAGGGGGACCAATAGTTGTCCACCCTCACGCTGTGGGGGGACCAATAGTGGTCCACCATCGCGCTCAGCAATAGCACTGCCCCCTTCGGGCTCATCCAGACCACCCTCCTTCCCCACCCTCCACCTCCATCACCCAAACCTCCTCGCGAGTGACGTGACACGTCACACACTGACCCTTGGCAACGTGTAAAAATATTACTTTTTAAGACGTCTCAAAAATAATATTTTTACGAGTGACGCGACACGTCACACACGGACCCTTGGCAACGGCAATCTGTCTTTTCGGCTCAACCAGACCACTTTTGAGAATTCTCAAAAGTGATTCACCTCCATCACCCAAACCCCCTCGCGAGTGACGCGACACGTCACACACTGACCCACACTGACCCTTGGCAACGACACTTTTTTCGGCTCAACCAGACCACCCTTTTTCTCCCCTCCCCCACACCCATCCCCCCCACAGTGCCATGGATTGTGGGTGGAGTGCCGCCCTCACCCTTGGCTACGGCGCAGTCCTCTTTGGCCTAACCCAGACCACCCGTTTCCCCCCTCCCCTTCCCTTTCCCGAATCCCCTCCCTCCCCCAACTTCCCCCCCCTCCCCCCCCCACCCCCCACCATCCTCCCAGTGCCACGGATCACTAGTGGAATGCTACCCGCACCCTCGGCAATGGCACCGCGCTCTTCGGGGTCACTCAGACGGGCCTTCTTCCTCTCTCTCCACAATCCCGCTCCCCGCACCTCCCCGCACCTCCCCACCTCCTCCCCCAGTGCCACGGATCGCAAGTGGAGCGCCACCCTCACCCTCGGCAACGGCACAGTCCTCTTCGGCCTCACCCAGACCACTCTTCTTTCCACCTCATCTTCCCTCTCCTTCCCTCCCCACTCTCCCCTTCCCTCCCCTTCTCTCCCCCCTACCTCCCACCCCCCAGCGCCACGGATCGCGAGTGGAGCGCCACGCTCACCCTCGGCAATGGCACCGTTCTCTTCGGGCTCACTCAGACAGGGGGCGACGGCGTGCTCACCACCAACCTGCCCCTCATTGACTCCGAGGAGGTCCACGCAACAGGCGCCTTTCTTTGGGAGGCCCACTTTTGAGTCACCTCGTTGACTCGGAGGAGGCCCATGCAACAGGCGCTGCCCTTTGGAAGGCAGCACTTATGATTCATGACCTAACAGTACAGAACTCTCTCCTCCCTCACTCCCTCCCGACCCCCCAGTGCGACGGATCGCGAGTGGAGCGCCACGCTCACCCTGGGCAACGGCACCATGCTCTTCGGGCTCACCCAGACGGGCGGTGACGGTGTGCTCACCGCCAACCTGCCCCTCATTGACTCCGAGGAGGCCCATGCTACAGGGGGTGCTGCCTGGGAAGCACGGCCCATAACTCTGGGGCCGAATATCTAAACTTTAACAACACAAAACTCTCCCCAAACCCGCCTCCCTCCCCGCATCCTCTCTCAACAAACCCCCTCCCCTGCCTTCTCCTCCCCACTCCCCAGCGCCACGGATCGGGAATGGAGTGCCACCCTCACCCTGGGCAACGGCACCATGCTCTTCGGGCTCACCCAGACGGGCGGTGACGGTGTGCTCACCGCCAACCTGCCCCTCATTGACTCCGAGGAGGCCCATGCTACAGGCGCCTCCCTATGGGAGGCGCGGCAGTGCCGCCCGGGGAAGATCGACGCCGAAAAAGTGGGCGGCGGGCTCGTCTTATGTTACATCGGCGGGATTAGTCCGGAGAGGAAGGCGCGGACGGTTCAGGACGCGGGGGCGCGAGGCATGGTGCTTGTACCGAGGAACTCCAATGAGAGCGTGCGCAGCGTGAGCGGAAACTTCCCGGTGATTTCCTTTGGGTACCCCAAGGGTGTGCTGATACGAGATTACATCATGAAGACAGCGAGTCCCACCGCTACTCTCTCGCACCTCGTTTTAGAGCAGCCGAGGAAAGTCCGATCGCCTATAATGGCGTATTTCTCCTCCTCGGGACCGCCTTACCGCCCAGGTTACCCTTACCGTGCCCTTCCCACCGTTACCAATGACGTCTTAAAGCCCGATTTAGTTGCTCCGGGATTGACCATCCTCGCCGCAGCAGCCTACGGAAACTCCCCGGGGTTCTCGATGCAATCTGGGACGTCGGTTTCAGCGGCGTGTGTGGCTGGGATCGCAGCGATGGTGATGCAAAAGCATCCGGATTGGACGCCGGCTGCGGTGAAATCCGCGCTTATGACCACAGCGCGAGTGTTAGACGCGTGGGGGCAGCCGATTCAAATGTCTACGTGGGTCGACGCGAATCCCTGGGTGTTTGGATCGGGACACGTGGTTCCCTCGCGAGTTCTCAGCCCCGGATTGGTTTACGACGTCGGAATCGAGGGGTACATAAATTTCCTCGCGGGTCTTCGCTACGGGCTTACCAGGGGGATTTTTCGGCCGATTCAATTGGACCCGGTAAAGCCGTACATGCTCAACCAGCCGAATATTGTCGTCGCGCGGCTGAACAAGACCGTTCAGGTTACCAGGCGGGTTACCAACGTGGCGTTACGAGCTGCAAAGTACACTTGCACGCTTGAAACGCCGGATGGTACGGAGTTAAAAGTGGTTCCTTCCCAGTTTACTATATATCCCAACCAGAGTGTTTGGTACTCGGTATGGATAACTCCGACAGTAGCTAGGGTGAGGTTTTCTCCTGGTAGCATCACTTGGAGTGACGGGCTGCATGTGGTTAGATCGCAACTGGTAGTGCAGCCAATGCTGGGCATTGATGTATGATTATTTGGCTTCAATTTGGGGCACTGATGTATGAATAATGCAATCTGTTTGTCATGTGGTCTGCAGCATCTGCTGATGCCATCATAGAGTAGGTGGTACCATTCTATTTCATGGTGATACCACAGCTTGCCTTGTATTTCTGCATAAGAAGCTATGGTTAAGTGGGAAAACTTTCCACATGTACATGTAAGTCACTTCGCTTCCCTTGCAGTAAAAGCAAACACAGTTGTAAAAAGGTTCTGCCCAAAGCCCTCGGCTTTGCAATACAACAGACAGGTTGACCCTACAGTCACTCTCCATTGCGCGGACTAGCTATCCCCCTTTTTAGCTGCCTCGACTCTGTCCCGGTTGCGCACGAGCACAATGCGCTCCAGCACCCGCCGCGCCTCGCACTGAGGGAAGTTGGCCAAGTCGTAGTAGTGCGGGGCGATGTCCAGTAGCCTGCGCAGGTGGAGAAGGGGAGATGAAAGGGGGGGGGGTGGGGAGGGAGGGGTAGAGGGTGGAGAGAACAAGTGGGGGGAGGGCAAAGAAAGGTGTGAGTCAGAATGAGGGAAGTTGGCCAAGTCGTAGTAGTGAGGGACAATGTCCTGTAGCGTGGTGGGGGTAGAGGGGAGAGAGGGAAGAAGGTTGGAGAGAAGTGAAAACGCTGGATAGTATCGAAGGAAGTTGGCCATGTCATCGGGGTGAGGGAAAATGTCATTACTGGTAAGTGGTCATTTCAACTTCTGGCCTGCTATTGTGACAACATGACACGCAATATTGGATGAGATTCGTTTAGGGACTGAGGACACAGCTGGATTCTAAAAAAGACGAAGTTCTGAAGTTGGACGCAAAACTTAAAACGCTGCGTCCGCTGAAGAAAGGCATTCTCAAGTCAATTTTACAGCTTTCCTCCTTCAAGACTTCTGCTACACGAGCATTGATATAAAGACACTAGACGACGGTTGCGGCCAAAAGCAAAGACCATCCAATAAACAATACTCGTGCTTTTGCCGCAACCGTCAAACCAAGTCTAAAATAAAAGAAAGTTTTTTTATATCCATGCTCATGTAGCAACAGCCTTGAAGGAGGAGAGCTATAAAGCTAACATGAGAACACTTTCTTCATCGGACCCAACGATTTAAGTTCCGCGTCCAACTTCATAACTTCCTCTTTTTTAGAATTCAACTGTGTCTTCAGTACCTCAACAGATCTAACCCAATACATCGTGTCATATTTTCTGAATAACGGACAAGGAGTCGAAACGACCACTTACTTTTATGATTTTCCTAGGTAGCAATAAATTGGTGGGGAGCAGGTCGAGGAAAGACAATTGAGTGAGGAGTAAGGGGGAGTGGGGAATGAAGGAGCAATAGTGGGGGGACAGAGTACCGTTGAGTCGCACTGAGGGAAGTTGGTCAAGTTGTAGTGATGCAGGGCACACCTGCCAGTCGCCCCCCTACCACCACTCCAGCTTGTGTGACAGCCCCATGCAGAAATGAAGGTGCACGAAGTGAGAACACCCATTGCACCCCATTTTGAGAGATCTCAAAACTCGCTCACAAGGAAATGAAGGTGCATGATGTGGGCCCCACATGCGCAACGCAACACCCATTGCAAACCCCCCGTTTGGAAACCCCCACCAGCAAACACCCACTGGAAACTTCTACACCAACACAGCACACGCACCAGTCGCCTTTGACGTCAGTGACAACGCGAATGAAGTTCCGGGTGGTGAGCACAAACTCAATGATGTAGGTGGTTGTAGATCATCCCCTCTACAATTCCCCCCCAAGCACCGCTTGCCCTACCATTACCGCACACGCACCAGTGGCCCCTACCATACCAACCGCCCACACGCACCAGTCGCCCTTGACGTCGGTGACAACGCGGATGAAGTTCCGGGTGGTGAGAACAAACTCGTTGTAGATCACCCACTCTGGCTTGTGGGACAGGCCTGTTGATGGGTGCAGATGCACTATCTGCAGAGGAGAAAGGGAAAGGAGGAGGCGGGGCGGGGGAAGAGGCGGGGTAGGGATGGGGAAGGCAACAAAGGAGGGTGAGATGTTGCAATGATACGAGCCTTCTTGAGGAGAAACAAACCTGCAACGACCCGCATGAACTGCTGATCACAAAGTACTCGTCACTTCGTACTGCTAACAAAGTGGTTATCACTAGCTGCTGCTGATTTGATTAAGTACTCCTAATTGGTTGGCCCACCTGATTGTCCTTGACTGTCAGATAGTGCCCTGTCCTCTCCAAATGTGCCACCTGTGGGGTAGCGAGGAGAGGAGAGAAGAGGAGATGAGAGGGGTGCAAACATGGGGGGGAGCAGCGGGAAAAGAGGGGTGATTCGGGGACAGCAGCAAGGGACGTCATATATGTCATGTCAGAGAGAGGTGGTGCGAAGGTACATGAACGAGAGCCAGAGGGAAATGAGATGCAGGCAGAGGAGTGTGGAAGAGGTAAGCAGGAGTGACCATAAAGAAGAGTGGGGAACTTTACAAGAGCAGGAAAGCGAGTGGAGAGACGATGGGGAGAAAGGGAGGAGAACAGGTTGGAGAGGCTATTGGAATCGCCATTAAGAATTCTCAAAAGCACACAAACCCAGTCCCCCTCCACCTCCGTCTCCCCATTCGCCCCACCCCACGCCCACCTCTCTCCAATGTTAATCATCACACACAGTCAAAACTCCTCCTCTTCCTCCCCCTTCCCCTCCAACACCCACCCCCCTCCCTCCACCGCTCACCTGCATGAAGAATCCAGCCAAGAGTGCCTTGCGGATGTTGGGGTAGCAGACGGACGACTCAAACAAAAGAGTCCCGTCCTCTCCTCTCCTCTCCTTCCCAAACACCCTGCCACCTCTCCCCACCTCTCACCACCACTCACCACCGCTCACCTGCATGAAGAATCCGGCCAAGAGCGCCTTGCGGATGTTGGGGTAGTAGGCGGACGACTCAAACAACAGTGTCCTGTCCTGTCCACTCCTCTCCTCTCCTGTCCTCCACTCAACGACCCACCCCCCAACGATCCACCACTGACCTGCATGAAGAATCCGGCCAAGAGCGCCTTGCGGATGTTGGGGTAGTAGGCGGACGACTCGAAGGCCGTGGAGCACATCTTGAGCCCGTAGCGCATCATGATGCGCACCAGCTGGTTGCGCACGTTGTCCGCTGCCTTGAGCGCTCGTGCATTGACGAAATTGTCGTAGCACCAGCTGGGGTCCTCGCCTGGTCATGTGGGATGGGAGGGCGACGAGGAGTGGTGGAAGGAACACATGAGAGACAACGCAGGCGGTTCCCAAACAGCGCCGTGGAGCACATCTTGAGCCCGTAGCGCATCATGATGCGCACCAGCTGGTTGCGCACATTGTCTGCTGCTTTCAATGCACGTGCATTAACAAAGTTGTTATAGCACCAGTTGGGGTCCTCCCCTGGCTTTGGGTGAGGTTTTGGGAGCAGCCGGGTGGGGGGAGCAGAGGAGAACATCTTGAGTTCGTAGCGCATCATAATGCGCACCAGCTGGTTGCGCACGTTGTCCGCTGCGTTGCGCGCTCTGACGTTGACTACATTTTCATAGCACCAACTGGGGTCCTCACCGTTCTGCTTGTAGGCGTGGAAGATGCTGAGCATAGTGAGGTGGTCGTCATCCTCGTGGGAGAAGACGTGCGTACTTTGGTTTCATTCACTTCAACAATGCGCACCGCTTCATTCACACACATAAACAATGCCCTGCTTACACACTGCAAGGCGTTTCAACGCACTCACCGTTCTGCTTGTAAGCATGGAAGACGTTGAGCAGCGTGGGGTGGTCCTTATCCTCATGGGAGACACGCGCCTTGGCCTCGTCCGCATGCCTCATACTCACACGAACCACCACTTCACACACACAAACACACACACACTGGCCTGCTTGTACCCTGCAAGACGTCCCAGTCCGCTCACCGTTTTGTTTATAGGCATGAAACACGTTGAGCAGAGTGAGGTGGTCCCCATCCTCGTGGGAGAAGCGTGCCTTGGCCTCATCCGCCTGCTTCTGTGCCTCCCGCGGACGAATGAAGCAGTTAGGCACTGATCAAAGCCGGTGACGAGTAGAATGCAGAGGAGGAGGAGGTGAAGGAGCAGGAGGAGAAGGAAGAGGAATGGAGTGCCAGGTTCGGCATAAGGACCAGCACGGTGGTTCGGCGACAGGCCCGGTGTGTCAGCATGTAGGTACGGGCGGTGGCAGCAGCGGAGGAGCGAAAGGAGCGGAAGGAGCGGAAGGAATCATTAGGTCGAGATTAGGAAGGTGATGGGAGTAGCAGAGGTGGTGGTGATGATGGTGGTGGTGGTGGTACGGGTTGTGACAATGGGGGGAGTGCATGTAGGGGGGTCCTCCTGCAGTAGCAGAAGAGGCGGAGAGACAGTAAAAGCAACACACTGCAAGCGGGGAGGTTAGGTGCGGTGTATGGTGAGGCTGACAGAATACAAACAAGTCAGAATGCACTCGACGTGCTAACATAGCAGCAGATACTATGATTAGAAACTTGATGACAGGTAAAACAAGCATACTAACCCACCAACCCCAAACAACCAACCGGGCCAGCCAAACACACCAGACAACCAACCAAACCAACCAGTCAACCACACAACATCACCAATGAAACCCACAGACGAACCAGTCAACCACACAACCAGCCAGCGACCCAATGAACCAGCCAGCAAACCAACCAACCAACCTGAGAGCATGGCGGTAATCGAGAGGATCTCATTGGAGCAATTATAATCGGGCGACACGACGAGCATCTTGGAGAGCTGCGGGTCGAGAGGGAACTCGCTCATGAGCTCGCCCAGCTTGGTCAGATTCCCCTCATCGTCCAGCGCCCCCAGGTAGTTCAGCAGCTCCAACGCACAGCCAACTGGGTTTCTGAGGCCCTCACAACCAAACCACCCACCCAAACCACCCACCGAACCACCCACCCGAACCAACCACCTCACAACCAAATCAACCTGAGAGCATGGCCGTAATGGAGAGGATCTCGTTGGAGCAGTTGTAGTCGGGCGAAACGACGAGCATCTTGGAGAGCCACTACCCCCAGCCCAGCCAACAACCCAACCCACCAGCCAAGCCAACCAACCTGAGAGCATGGCAGTAATCGACAGAATCTCGTTGGAGCAGTTGTAATCGGGAGAAACGACGAGCATCTTGGAGAGCTGCGGGTCGAGAGGGAACTCGCTCATCAACTCGTCCAGCTTGGTCAGATTCCCCTCATCGTCCAGCGCCCCCAGGTAGTTCAACATCTCCAACGCCCGCATCAGAGTATCCTCCGGGACCCACACAAGCAAAACCACCCAACCAAACCACCCAACCAACCTGAGTGCAAACGGACCAACCTGAGAGCATGGCCGTGATTGACAGAATCTCGTTGGAGCAATTATAATCGGGCGAGACAACAAGCATCTTAGACAGCTGCGGGTCCAATGGAAACTCGCTCATCAGCTCCCCCAGCTTGGTCAGATTCCCCTCATCGTCCAGCGCCCCCAGGTAGTTCAACAGCTCCAACGCCCGCATCAGAGTCTCCGGCGCGGGCGGGTCCATAAAATCAAAGTGCACGAGATCGTCAATACCCAGCTTTTTCAGGGTTAGAACGACATTCGCAAGGTTCGACCGGAGGATCTCCGGGTAGGTCTGCTCCTGGAGGTCTTTTTGGAAGGAGCGTTCGGTGTAGAGACGGAAGCATTTGCCCGGCTGCGTTCGGCCGGCGCGACCCGCCCGCTGGTGCGCCGAGGCTTTGGAAATCGGGGAGACCAGGAGGGATTCGACGCGAATCCTCGGGTTATAGACCTTCTGTTTTGAGAATCCGGGATCAATGACATATACGATTCCGTCGATCGTGAGGGAGGTTTCTGCGATGTTTGTGGAGATCACGATTTTTCGGCCGGGCGGGCCGCCTTCTTTGACGGGCGGCGGGGCAGCGTCGAAGATTTTCTGCTGCATGGCGGGCGGTAGAGTGGAGTAGAGTGGGACGACCTTGACGGGGCCGACCTGGTCGCCGAGGTTTTGGATCTCCCGGGCGATCTTCTTGCACGCGTCCTCAATCTCCTCCTCCCCCGTCAGGAACACGAGAATGTCCCCCGGCGGCTCACACATGTGGATCTGCACCACCGTGCGAATGGCCGCCTCTAGATAGTCCCTTTCAGGCTCCTGTGGAGGCGGAGGGAAGAGGGGGGAGGGGGAGCGGGAAGGGGAATGCGGAGTGGAAGGAATGGGTGAATGGGATGAGGAACCTTTTGCTTGAAGGCTCCAACATGTGGTGTGGGAAGGGGAACGTGGATTTGCACAAAAAGAAAGATCTCAGACCGCAGCAGACTCGGCAGGTCCTCCATCATGTGGATCTGCACCACCGTAAAAGGAGGATCTCCTTGAAAGTGGGATCAGGGGGATCTCCTCACAACCCCTCTTTCCCCATACACTGAACTGAACCCCGCCTCTCCCACCTCCCTCCCCTCTCCCCTCTCCCCACCCCACCTGCGTGTAGACGATCTCAACGGGGTGCAGCCGTCCATGAACCTTCGTGAAAGGCGTGCCGTGGAAGTAGCCTTGGAACTTCACTTTCCTTCCCCCATCCCCTCCCCCCTCCCCCTCCACTTCCCCCCTCCCCCTCCCTCCCCCTCCACTGCCCACCTGCGTGTAGAAGATCTCGACAGCGTGCAGCCTGCCGGGGACCTTCATGAGGGGTGCGTTGTGGTAGTAGCCTTGGAACTCCTCCCCTTTCCTTCCCCATTCTCTCCCCTCCCTCCATCCCTCCTCCCACCTCACCTGAGTGTAGAAGATCTCAACGGGGTGCAGCCGTCCAGGGACCTTCATGAGGGGAGCGCCGTGAAAATATCCCTGGAACTTCTCGGCCTCGAGAGTGGCGCTCATGACAACGAGCTTGAGGTCTTTCCGGTGTTCCAGCACGGCCTTGAGCAGCCCAAACAGCACGTCCGTCGCCAGTGTGCGCTCGTGTGCCTCGTCCAGAATGATCGCCTTGTACCGTTCTAGAAGTGGGTCTGCCATGGCTTCTCTCAACAGCATACCGTCGGTAAGGTACCTGGTTGGTTGCAAGCGAGCGGGAAAGGGGAAAGACGGAAGAGGGGAGCGAGAAAAGGGCGTGAGGGAGAGCGCTCGTGAGCCCTGTCTACAGACTGATTGGGGGCAGACTGATTGCGCTGCACGGTGCACCACTCCTTGCGGTGTTCCAGCACGGCCTTGAGCAGCCCAAACAGCACGTCCGTCGCCAGCGTGCGCTCGTGTGCCTCGTCCAAGATGATCGCCTTGTATCTCTCGAGTAGAGAGTCTGCCATGGCTTCTCTCAACAGCATACCGTCAGTGAGGTACCTGTAACATAGTGGATGGGCGACAGGGAGAGGAGCGGGTGAAAGGGAGGGGGGGTGGGGGGAAGGACAGGGAGTGCGCTCGTGCGCCTCGTCCAGAATGATCGCCTTGTACCTCTCCAGTAAAGGGTCTGCCATGGCCTCCCTTAGAAGCATACCATCCGTCAGGTATCTAGTTGGTAGGGGAAGAGAGGGTCAAGGAGAGACGGATAAGGGGGTGAGGGGTGCGCTCATGTGCCTTGTCCAGGATTATCGCCTTGTACCGCTCCAGCAGAGAGTCCGCCATGGCCTCCCTTACAAGCATACCGTCAGTGAGGTACCTGTAACAGGGAGTGGGAATACAAGGAAGAGGGGGGGGAGTGGGGGGCGGCGGAGCGTGCTCGTGCACCTCGTCCAAAATGATCGAGCAGTGGGTCCGCCATGGCCTCCCTCAAAAGCATACCATCGGTCAGGTACCTGGTTGGAAAGAGAGAGTTAAGGGGGGGTAAGGACGAGGATGATCGCCTTGTACCGCCATGGCCGTAAACCAAGGGTCCGCCATGGCCTCTCTCAGCAACATACCGTCAGTCAGATACCTGTAGCACGGCGTGACTAGCACTGGCTCACTCGAGGCAGGTCTTGGGGCCGCTGCAGTCTTTGAATCGGATGGAGTAACCCACCTCCTCGCCGATGTCACGTCCCCGGATGCATGCATGCCACGCCGTCCCTCCCTGCTCTTTGAACAACCTACCCTAATCATACGCAACCTCACGATAGGCACACTCACTTGAGGCAGGTCTTGGGCCCGCTGCAGTCCTCGAATCGGATGGAGTAGCCCACCTCCTCGCCGATGGTCACATCCATCTCGTCCGCCACTCGCCGCGACACCGACATCGCCGCCACGCGCCGCGGCTGCTCCTTTCCTTCCTACTCTCCGCACCACCTACCCCAACCATAAGCACCATCACTATAAGCACCCCTGGCAGCCTCACCTTGTTACTGGCGCCCTGCACAACCAGCCCTGAAACAACCCACTTAAGGCTGGCTTTAAGAAGGCTCACTTGAGGCAGGTTTTGGGTCCGCTGCAGTCTTCGAATCGGATGGAGTAGCCCACCTCCTCGCCGATGGTCACATCCATCTCGTCCGCCACTCGCCGCGACACCGACATCGCCGCCACGCGCCGCGGCTGCGTGCACGCCACCTGCTTCTTGTTCGTCGCGTTCAAACACTCGACGACAAATTGCGGGATCTGGATAGGAAGACACGAGATTGCATTGCAGGGGAGGGAGGGACGTTTTAAGAGGACTCAAAGGCCACTCGCCACGGCTGCGTGCACGCCACCTGCTTCTTGTTCGTCGCGTTCAGACACTCCACGACAAATTGCGGGATCTGGAAATATACGGTATTGCATGGGAGACAGGAGGTACGTAAGGCGGGGTGCGATTCGAGACGATTCAAGAACCGCAATGGCGTGCACTGCACGCCACCTGGATATCGTCGCACTCAAATACTCCACCACGAATTGCGACTTTCTGGTAGGTACCATTTGTAAAAAAGGACGAGCCGCTTTCACAAGATCGGCAATTTCGAGGGTTCCTGCCGTCTCTCCCACGAGCGCTGCTGCTCCTTTAGCAGATCGGCAATATTCACAAACCCTATCCTAAAATAGAGCGAGCACCGACGACTAACCTGCGTGGTCTTCCCGCTACCCGTCTCCCCCACGAGCACGATGATCTGCTGCTTCTTCAACAGATCAGCAACATTCACGAACCCTATTATGAAATGGAGCGAGCACCGACGCGACGACTAACCTGAGTCGTTTTCCCGCTGCCCGTCTCTCCCACGAGCACGATGATCTGCTGTTTCTTCAACAGATCCACAAATTCCTGCTTCTGCTGCCACACCGGCAGCGTTTTCCGCTTCTCGAGAATGTCGAAATACCGCTGCGTGTACGGCCGGCCGTTATACGGGTTGATCGTCGTTGAAGCAGCCGCGGCTAATACATTCGCCGAGGCCGCGGCGATTACAGCCGCCGCCGCCGATGTCGCATCTGCGAATCCATCCACCTTCTGACGGCTCGTCTCCGGCGGAACGTCGAAAAGGCTGATCTTACGCTTGCGCTCGGTCCCCATGTCTGAGAGTTCGCTGACTACTTTATGCGAATTGCTCGTTTCTTGCCAATTGTTCGCTTCTTGCCGACAGCTGGCTCCTGACCAATTGCTGACTAGTTACCAACTTGCTGACTTCTCCAGCAATTGCTGACTACGCGCGGATAAACTTGGGTTTCGCAGAACAAAACTAAGGGTTTCTGCACTCAGCAGACCACAGCAGGCAAGGGCAGACAGGATACCGTCACGCTCGCAAAAAGGAACTAAGCAAGAAACTGTGGATTAATCCACAGGCAGCCTGTACGGGTTCTGCCAAGGAAAGCTAAGGGGGAGGAGAAACAGGAAAAGGGAGGGGGTGCAGAAGAATCACGGCTACGGGAGAATCAGAGCTCACGGTGAAGCTCACCTAAAACCTGGTGATTGCCATTCCCGTCATTATCCTCTACTTTATAAATCCAAAAACACTGTAGTCTTCAGATTCTGAAAGGATTTACAGTTGTACATATACAGCATACAGGTTGTAAATACCGAATATTTTCCTGCCTCATATCTTGCAATTGCTAGTATTTACAGAGCTTCAATGGTTCTTTCGGAGGCTGCACGCTTCCGATCTATCATTATCGCCAGCAATCTTGTGGTTGGAGCCTCCCTCCATACACTTGGTTACAGGGCGCTGGTTACAGGCCGCACACATCAGAGTCAGTCACAGCTTCTGCCCTGATAGCAGGGTTGCCAGCGCAGCTGCCACCCTGGAAGTGTTTCTTGTTGAAATCTGGCCAATGCATGAACCATCCTGAAAATCATTTTACATGAAAAGAGTGGGACAAAGAAAAAATAATGAACGAAGCTTCATTTTGGCTGATAGATATGGATTGCGAGCGATGAGTGAGGGATACACGAGTGGACCGCGCAGCAGCCCGTAACAGTGTGCAAAGTATGGAAAGAACATGATTGCATGAGCCGATCGCAGAATGCACATGGCACCGAGAACTGCAGAGACCACCATATTGCCATAGCAAAATTCACCGTTAATGGTCACATACCTTGAAGAAGGCAAAGGCGGGAACCAGCTTGATGCGATACAGTAAGGCGATTTCCTGATAGAAACGAATGGAGAATGGAAGAATGCTTTACGTAAAGGAACGCAGAGAAACATAAAAAGGGCCACAGCTTGTAGATAAAAGACTCTCAGGTTCAAGTGACTTCAAGATCATGTTGCAGAATAAAAAAAGATTCAAGTCAAGACTTCAGCCGAAAAGCACTGCTGGTGGATATTGACAGAACAAAACAATGCTTCCAAGTTATGACCACAATGAAACCTTGAGAACCACCAATATGACGAGCCACCAAGCAAGTAACCATCCACGGGCATACCGTTAAATCATCGTAGTCGTCCCGGACATTGTGCTTGAGAAAACGAACGGCTGAAAACTCCTGCCGCACTGTTTCAGAGTCAACAGCATCTGCATCCTTGCTCTCTTCAGCTGCTGCTGGAAGAACATTGCGTGTAATTCCATCCGTTGTAACCTTATCAAGTGTAGTGTTGTCTGAAAATGCAAATCCATCCACTGTACACTCGGAGTCACCCTGACAGCCCTGAACAGAGGAACATGATCCAGTATGTAAGACATTGACCATTGTTGCAAGGAGGAACCAGGCAAATGAAGGAAGTATACAACAGCTTGGCCAAGGAGATCTTAAGTGTTCCATCACATGGGAGCATGACGTGTTCTTACTGATTTGCAGAGGTCAATGAACTTGGGAAGAATGTATTTACAAGAGCCACATGACGAGTTGTAGAAATCCACAACCACCTGCATCAGGCATTGCGTGCGATCATTCAGTTCATTGCGTACATGAAACGAAACAGACTGCAGTTACAATCCTCGAAAAACATAACTCTTGAGTTCTTTCTCCCCCACTCCTCGTTCCGAGCTCACCAGCTGCATATTATTCTCCGCTGTAAGCAGCTCCGCTTCCAAATCAGCCATAGTCCGCACCTCCCGCACGCAATCGACCGGACACGTTACAGCTGACTCGGCCCGCCGCTTCTCCTCCTCCTGCCGACAAAACATTGGGCAAAAGGATGGAACGGAAGTTGTGGATAAGGGGATTTTTCACCACAGTTATTGTCGTGTATCATGCCAAGCTGAGCAAGAGCAATAGCGAGGTTGGTGGCAGGTGGTGGTGGGGTGTATGGAGTTGGGGGAAGAGCGAGAGCATTGATCAAGTATGGAATGAAGACTGGATTGAATTACGCTAAGCAACATGACAAGGAGACGACAACTCCCTGAAAGACCCAGAGACGTATGTCGTCTGCACGCGGAGTGCGGGTAGCCATTCGCGGATAAGCGGCAACAGCCGACAGGCGCTCCTGGCTCCTGAAGCTACCCAGAAACGCCTGTCGGTTGCTCGCGCGTGTTCAAGGCTCCCTTAAACACCTAATCGACTATCATTGGGTGGGCAAAAGGCAGGAACAAGCAATCAGTGACGCCACGTGGCATCACTCACCAGCTGACGACGAAAGAGCTCCTCGAGATACTTCCGGCGGTCGACCTGGATCCGTGCGGATACGCGCAACCGCGTCACGGGTGTCTTTGATGGCGGGGATCTAACGATAGAGATCGTCTGATTCCACCTACGGGGATAATCGACCGTGTTGGATCTCCGCGCAGCTACGTATGCACTGCCATTTGTTGGATGCCTCAACTCGAGCCGCGTAACAGAAGGAAACTGCATGCTTCTTCTTACCGCGGCCCGCGGGAGATGCAGATGTTGCAGACCACGAGAAAACGCAAATGTTTATGGATTATAACATTCCTGAATGACGACCACGAGAAAACGGCGGGTGAAGTTGAGATACGAACACTAGAAGGCTAGAGTGAAAGGCAGATTCTCCGACTGGACTTTCTGCATTCACTCACGGTTTCTGCTTGAAGCAGGCAAGTCCGTTGGGATGGGGGGTATTGCTGCCGTGAAGGATCTGTACGTACGTATCAACGCGAAAGAGCCCACTGTGGGACAACCGAAACGAACCGACAGGTTACAAGTATTTGCACTTTCGCCATTCGCCAGCACAATTCCAAAAAGCTTGGAGAGGCACGCACGACCATCCGTTGCGGAAATATCTGGGTGAGTGGGGCAATGCAATGAGTACATTTACACTTCTTGTATCGTGGCTCAGGACGGTTCCACACGGTGGGATGCAGTTCTAAAGGTACCCTTCTGCGCCTTCAGAAGATAGCCTCCCTTCCCGGGAGAACGAGAGAAGTGAAGCGAACTGGCATTTGCCAACAAGCAAGTATATAGCGTTGAGCTCAGTGCATCTCTAAATTCTAGCTGTAGATGTTTCATATGTCTAACCAATATTGTTAAAAATTTGTAAACAGGATAAAAGTACAGGGCGTATTGGAATGACGCATTTCATGTCCCAGAATATGGGGTAGGTAACGTTTCTAGATCAAGCAGTGCACACTTTCTCCTCAAGCACGAACGGTAATCACTTCTTTGGGCAGGTTCCAGGACAGGTGATCCTAGTGCCGCAGGCATTGAGATAAGTTGGAGGAGCCTTGCCATACCCGCACAGGCCAGGAGGGCATTTGGTCCTGCATGAGACGGAAACGTAATTAAGTTGTAAGAAATGAAAATACAACCACCAGCGTCTGCAATTGCAGTAACATCAACACAGGAAATAGAGGAAAAAGTCCGCCTTTGCCCCTACTCACCTGCAGCAGCGCGTGGACTTGGGTTTGGCCTTGCTGTTCTTGTTCACCAGGCACTTGAACTCCCCTGTTGTGCCGCATTGTGCATCTGTCGCACAAGGCTTGCCATCCTGCAACCACACGGATCAGAAGAAGCAAACAAAGGATACGAGGCGGTTGGTCAACACGAGGACAAACTGGAGCGTGCAAGGTGTGAGGTGCGGTGAGGTGCGGCAGAGTGCTGTGAGGTGCGAGACGAAGTTGACTCACAATCAAGTTCTTGTTGCATCGGCCAGTCAGGTAGTTGCACACTTGAGTATAGGCCTTAACGCTGAGATATTAGACAGGTGGCAGAGGGAAAAGTTGGGGCGAGGGGGGGAAAGCAGAAATGGGAAACGATTGAGAAGACAAAGAGGTGAGGAGAGAAAGATCGTTACAGCGGTAGGAGAAACATGGCGTTAGTGCTGGTGAAACATCCGGCCAATGCTCGTTTCCGCGGGCGGCTGATGCCATAGCATGGTACAGTGCAACAGGAGGTAAAGGCTATATTAGCGTCAGCCCACTTAGGACCGCATACCGGAATCTGCTTCCTCGTTCCGCTGGCAGGCCGTGAGAAAATTGAAAAGCTGATAGAGCGCGCAGAACTCTAGCAGTCAAGCATTGAGAAAGCAAACTTGTGGTTACGACTTGCCGTTCCCCGAAGTTTAGATGGTGAGTTTCTTGGATTGGCACGCTTGGTGGCGAACGAATCACAAGGCTCTTGACCGATTCCAACGCTGCTCGTAACTCGTTCAAGTCAACGCCGCGTCTGCTTTTCAACTGTAGGCACAGGTGCTTTTTAAGGCGCCTCAAAACTCGTACCTATAAACACAGGTGCGTGCAAGGCTGGCAGCTGCAAGGCGGTCTGGCTGTTTGACAAAGCGTGCGAACGTGGCGTGATACAATCTTCCATGCGAACGCGACGTGATACAATCGTCCATACGAACGCGACGTGCTACAATCGTCCATGCGAAAGCGACGTGCTACAGCCTTCCATGCGAACGCGCCGTGCTACAGCCGTAAATGCGACCGAGATGACCGGTCGGAAGATCTCACGCGTCCAAAAGCTCCTATAATTTACATGGAACCGGGTACTCAGCAGCAACACGCTCATCTACCGATACCCGCGAGTGCCGCAAGGTCTCCATCTAAAATGATGAACGAGCGGAGATGGAGCGTGTCAGAGAAAACTGATAACAAAAATAAACTCACTTGTCTCGGAACGCGCATGTGTCGCAGGTCTGCAGGGTGTAGGGCGGTTTGGGATTCGCGGAATCGGAGCAGACGTAGTAGAGACCGCATTGAAGACTGCCACGGCGCGGGCACTGGTACTTGCGAATGCAACCGGGGCGCACTTGCGCGTCCGACGCCGGAATCGACGCGGCGAGCAGCACCAACGCGACGGCTACGGACGGCAGCATGATTGCAGGAGACGACGGTCTGGGAAATAGTGGGGAAGAGAATTCGGAGTGTCGATGGAGAGGACGGATGGAAAGGGACTGCTTTGGGAAAATGAGAGGGTTTCACACCCGAGTCGCTATCAGGTGGCTCGGCAGTGCACACAGGTTTGGCGGAAAACGATACAGGGATGGTTTGTAGTGAGATGTGTTTTTGTCTGGCTGCTGTAATACTCTCGATGCGAATTAGCCTGTGATGAGCGCAATTGTGAAGTACCTGTGAATCTCTGTTTAGCGACTAAGACGGAGACTGACAAACGGGCGACGGAGGCGCCGAAGGACGTAACGGGAAAAACAGGGGCGACGGAGGTATTGTAACTGAAGGAGTCGGACAAGCCAGAGGAAGGACGGTGAAAGGGTTGATCGCCAATTACACGGATGATAGACTGGTCTTGAAGAAAGTGGCTGTGTTGTTCGGAGAAATGAGGGGGGGTGGAATGGGAAGGGAATGGGAAGGAAGAAGGTGGGGCCGCAGGGGCCAAGCGCAGGAACATTGCGGAGGAAAGGGGCTTGAGGGCGGCGCACCGGTGCGCGGGTGATTGGATTGAAAGAAAACGCGGCAGCATGGCATGGGATGGCATGATTTCCCCTATTCTGCTTGTCAACTCCTGCTCAAAGCTGCTCACCGCTGCAACCATCCATTCACGACCGCGCATACACATCGCCCGTACTGCCCAAATTTCACTTCCGCCACCACCATAGCGCATCGAGCTGGTTGGCTAAATTGTGATCCCCACTTAGCGTGAGCCACCTGGCATGCGCGAACGGTCGCGACGGTAGCAAGGACGGTGCTTGAAGAGGTTGGTAGAAGTGAGTGGTGGTGGATCCACTGCTGCCGTGTGACAGGCGCAGTAAACGCGAAGCGTCCTTCGTGGGTTCTCTTCTGACGGCACCGACTGGTTTGGGGCAGAAGGAGAAACATTTGTGACCATCAGGGTTACCCGTTGAGGTGTACGTGTGATGCGTTTCGGCTGGGGCAGTGATAGTCTTACCCTGCGGTGCGCGCAACGTGCAGTGGAAGGAGGTGCGCGGAGGGAAACGGCGCAAAAGTGGGCAGCATGAACATAAGCTGGCAAAGGGCTGTGCCCTTCACTGTTTTGCCCAGCCCTTCAAAACTGCCCGACAAAACATTAGCCCTCGGCTTCAGGCCTGGACCTTGCTGTGGTGTGGTTACAGCATCAGCGCACACAAAGTTGACCAGTTGACCTGATCAAGCCGTCAACGTTGTCAGCAACAGTGGCACCTGGGACCGAAACGCACAGGTGGTTTCATCATGAAATACAGCTGATACGCGTTGCTGCCACGCAGCGTTTCACAAAAAACGTAGTACATTCGAGTGCAACATTACGCTCCCTGCTCCACCTTTTCCACAATAAGAAATGTGACATTAGTATGCTTGTATTGTAATACTGCACAAGTTTATGGTATGGCCAACTGCATCAACGATAGGCATATCATCTCCATACGACTGGAGCTGGAGGAGTGGGCTATATGCCAGATTCGACATAGGGAGTCATGCACAATTCTGGTACGGTATAGGCTGTAATTTGCTGCATGAGTCAAAGGCTTCTACTAGAGAAACGGGGAACAAGTTCCTCTGTTGCCAACGGCGAGAAGGTGACAACGTGAAGCCATCACAGCGACAACCCAAACCCAGCAGCCATATGCTCCAGCGTGTGTAGTGGAACACTACTGGTACACAATACAAATACAACATTTTGGACAAACCATGTTACAACCTAAAAGCGCGTATTGCAAGAAGTGGAGATCCAAGAGCCCCCAACGGCTCTATACGGTTGGGAGCACCAAGCCAGGAGGGGAATTAGCTCATTTGGGTGTGGCAGGGCACACTCCGGGGCATACGATTTGTTCCCCGCATGCATTTGTGTACTTGAGAGGCTTCAGCCGAGCGCCGCACATGCCGGGCGGACACTTGGTCCTGCAGGTAGGGAAGAGCACAAAAGCATAGACAGAAGCCCGAAATATTTAAGTCGAGAGTGGATGTGAGTAGCTACAACCATTCCCCCCCACCCGCGGCTCCGTCCAAGATTAGACGCATACATTCACAATCTACAGTTTAACGAAGTCCCCACCTGCAGCATCGGCTCAGCTTCTTGTTCGTCTTGACTGGGCGGCAAGTGAAGCCTGTAACGCCGGGAGCCGTGCACTGCGCATCTGCTGTGCAGGTTTTCCCATCCTGCAGTTGGGCAACTCAATAGCGAGGACGGTCAGCGCGGTTATAGTAATGGTGGGAGAGGTATAACCAGGAGACAAAAGAATTGTGACGTGTATTTGGCAAGCCATCCCTTGAGCGGTTCTTCGAGCCGAAGATTCTGTCAAAATACTTGCATCCTCCCACGACGCATCAGATGCACTCGTGCGACGCGAAGTCTAAGTAGGGTTTTTTAACAAGAGGAGACGCGGATGTGCTTACGATGGTGTTGGGAACGCATCGGCCGTACTCGTAGTTGCACACCGAAGTGAACGCATTCTTGCTGCATCGCGGGTAACAGAAAAGAGAGGAAAAAAAAGGGGGAGACGGAGTAAAAGAAGGGGGAAGACGGACGGGTTTGAGCAAGGGTATGTGTGAATATGCGTGAGTATGGAAATGGGAGGCGAGTGATAGAGGAAGATGGAGAAGGTCCACGGGGAAGTTAGAGATAAAGAAGTACTAAAGGCAACAGGTAGTGGGAAGGTCATAGGTCTCATCATGACCACCATTGCTGATCGGTCTCCTGAAAATTACTACGACCAAGACCCTTCCTTCCGCCGCGCGGAAAGAAAAAACGAACTGTTTCGCGTTTACGACTTGGTGCAGCCACTCACGGCTGCATATAGTCACTCCCGCATCGTTATGGTCACTCACGGATCGTTGTAGTAACTCCCGAATCACCATGGTCACTCACGGATCGTTGTAGGAGCAACTGCCGCAAGTGGTGATAGATGCCTTGGCGATGCTCGCCGTCGATCCTGGCATGCAGTTGTAGAACACTCCGCACTGCTTTGTCTCGCGCGTCGGGCACTGGTACTTGTTCACGCACCCGGGCCGCATGTCACCCAACACCTGGCTCGGACCGCAGGTGAAAATGGCTACGAGGGCGAGCAGTAATAGCGCTGGTGAAGCGTGGAGACGGGAGGATGTCGCCATGACTGGTTACGGGGAAGTGCTCGAAATGGGGACGAGCGAGGTCTTGTTCTTTCTTGCTTCTCCTCTTTCCGTCTGGTTTTGCGAACGAGATTTGATAGCTATGAGCGGGGAGCGCGGCCAGAACCGTTTTTGCCGGCTACAACTCTAATCTCAGAATCAGGCCTTGCTGATTGAATACAGAGGCACAGGTCTAGACCTGGAGGATAATCTACAATGCTTCTAGAAACTGTCAATAGGTATTCGGTCTCGGCTCACCAACCGCTCGGCAGAACCGCGGGAGGGGCTAACGTGAGGGACCGAGATTATCGCGGGGGATGGGGATGATGGTAAGCGGTGGAGCAGTGGGCGCGGCGGAGCCTTCGGCACAGCTCCCCTAGATTGATGTGAGAGGGAAGACTAGATTTGCGTGGGAACTGGAGGGGACATGGCACGCCAATTCTTCTGCTTGGCCGTGAATTCCGTTCTGGGACTGAATCTGTTAGCGTCAGTGCCGCTAGGGGGCAGGATTGGGGTCCCGGCGTGCTTCCCGTCCCTTCCCGTCCCATGTGCTTGCCTCCTCTTGACAGTCCTACCTTCTCCTGTTCCGAGTTGTCACCGCTCCTGATGAACATTCTGCCTGGCGGGAATTCCCGTCTAGTCATGCGAAGGACTCCCGCAACAGAATTGCATCTGACGGAAAGGGCTACCGTGACGGACGGGAGGCTGTGTCGTGATCAAGAAAAAAACTTTTGCACCTCAATCGTGTTATCGGTCACAACAACCCTATCTAGACCTGCCAAAATCAATCGCACCTGCCATTAATCCAACTTTTTGGGCACTTGGTTAAAACTCAGAACCGCACAGGCGTTTCCAAAGCTCTTAGGAAGGCAAATGTACAGTGTGTGCAGGGTGAACAGCGCTCTCCGCGGTTCTGTTCTGTTTAAAATAATCGCGACGCAGGTGGTACTACATTACCTGCGGCGCATGCCCAACACCTGAGAATTCCTCGCCAGCCCCCTGCGTGTTACTGCGGCCCTAGACACAAAAATCCCCGCTGTGTCACGTCTCAACCTAAAATCTGTACACAATATATTTGGAAGTTGCGGAACACTTCGGCATTACAACTAGAGCATTATAAAACCTTGTAATCAAAATTACAGGTAGCTGCTAGCAAACATTGTACAGGCTGATAGAAAACCAAATTACAACTTGCAAATTTGCTACAATGTCACAATGAATAGATGCAAAACAAGATTGAAGCAGATTCGAAAACAAGATTGACACCAGAAGTTTGTGTCAAAGGTAAATTCATGGAGTGGCCCTTATAACCTCAAACAACACATGGCACACAAAACAATGTATGTGAATTTCAGCCGCGTTTTGTTAACTGACAACATGCAAACTCAGAGCATTGTCTGATAAAATGCTGCTTACAGCAGGAAGTTTTGAGAAGTGACATGAGCATTGTTGCAAAGACAAGAGAAAACACAAAGCAGAAAGAAGTATGTCATCATGGGATGTCAATTTTGGAACCAGTACTGGAGTTGTGACGTGTTTTCGACCATCATATTATTGCTCAAGTGCACTCATATAGTGAAATGGGGTTTGTACTTGTTGCCATGAACCAAGAATAATGTGTGACAGAAAAATAGGAAATCATGGTCAATTGCTTTTCCACTGCTTGGGGATCAGGGCAAACGATAGTCTATTGAAACATTACGTATATATTCGGGGAATGTAATTAACATACAATAGGACGCTCGCAACACATGATATAGCCGCCACGATGTCTCTAGGAAAGGACATTTTTAATATAAGACAGCTTTATTTGCATCCACCCATGCTGTCAAACAAAATAGCATGGTGGTTGCGGAATGTAGCCTGGGGGCACGACTATTTCAACACAGGACGTTCCGGCGACATAAATGGATCGGCGTGACGTTATGTTGTATTTACTTCTTCTTCTTGGCATCCTCCGGGCAGTCAGCAGGGCAATTCATCGTGTAGCCGCAAAGGTTCCGGTAATTGAGAGTTTTGTTCCCCGTGCCGCAGAGACCGGGAGGGCACTGGGTTCGGCAGCAGCGGTGCGGGACGACGGCGCCTGAATAGCCGTTCATAGGCATGCACTTGAAGTTCGGATCGCCGCAGTTGTCGCCCTTCTTGCACGTCTTGCCGTCCTGAGGAGGAGAATGGGAGAGAGCGAGCGCAGAGCGGGGGAAGAGCACAAAAGCATGGAAGAATCAGAAGCGCACGATTTTCTGGATCACAGCAAGAGAGGATCAAAATCCTAACTAAAGAAAGGCTGCTTCACGGTGCCAGAACTGAAATCAAAATGATAGGAAAAAAAGAGATACTATTTCCGCTCAACGTCACTTACGATTGTGTTCGCCATGCAGCGGCCATATTTGAAGTTGCACGTGGCCTCGGGCGCGTCGAACTTGGGCAGGTACGCGCAGTTGTCGCAGACGACGTAGCTGTCGACCTGGGACCAGTCGCTCACTATGTTGCACGTCTTCCACACGCCGCACAACTTCGTCGTGCGCTGCGGACACGTGTACTGTTGGATGCAGCCGGGTCGAAGCTGCGCGACGGCGCAGAGCGCCGTAAATAGAAGCGCAAAAAGCGCTGAGACAGCGTGCGAAGTGAAGCGAGCCATGAGGCTTCGCAGAGAAGAAAACTACACCAACTTGCGCAGTGTGATTTTCCTAATGAGATCGGATGCCCCAACGGTCTTTGCTATTCACTCCAGCTTCCTAATATAATTGCTATTTGCAGTGCCCTAGGTGTGTTGGGAGTTGGGAATGGATGGGAGCACAATGCGAACTGAAGTGCTGCTTTCTCCAATTTGAAATCCGTGGTGATTTCAAAGCTACCACGCGCTGGATTGATTCTGGAGGTGAAGGTGGTTTCGAATGGGAGGTGAAAGGAGGTGGGAATTGGAGATTGAGGCAACCATGTGGGAGAGGCGCATCACATCGAGCCGCGACAAGGTGGGTTCTGTGGGATCGTGGAGCTTCTTGGCCGTTGGTTCAAAGGCAACCGAGTCATCGTGCGTCGCATGGGCTTCAGTACAAGCGAACTAGCGGCTCAGCAAGTGTGGGATGGGGCAAGTGTGGGCAATTGCTGGCGCGCCTCGCATCTCACACGGCGACCGGGCCGAAGTGTTGGTGTTATCGTTACTAAAACTTTATCGTATGGACGCCCCAGTCTGTCTAAGTGTGCGGTCGCGTACTTGTTGCACTTATCCCAGTTGCGCCATGAGGCTGGAGGCGCGAAGGCATGATGTTGTTCGCCTGGGGCAGCAGCTCTTGTGACAACTGGAGCAGCTGTCTTTCGGCGACCGCTGCGACAGCGGCTGGTTAAAAGATGTTAGAAGTAAACCGTTACCAGAATGAAACTCTTCTTGCTCAAATTTACTTCATGTAGAAACCGTTACCAGAATGAAATCTTCTAGCTCAAATTTACTTTGACTGGAATTTTACCTTCACTCTGACATTTGGTAGGGGCATCAATTTTCTTAGTATTGTTTTTAAAATGCAATAAAACTGGCATATTTTTACTGGAATGACCAAGCTTGCAAAAACAGTCTCCAACCTTTGAATTAATTACAAATATAGTGCTGCTAAATGTATAAGAATCAGGATATTGTCATGAATGTATTTGAATTATTTTAATATGGAGCCAATGTCATGCTTTTAAGGAAGATCTCAATGTAGAGAACACACTGGATATGTGAGTGCGTGTAGCAGAAAATGAAATGTCTGTTGAAAATTGAGGTGTTTGACAACGGGGCTGGTTGTGGCGAATTTCATCCCAGTCTCGAGAGAATCCCCACTCCCTTAGTTCCCTCTGCCTCGAAAACTCCTCGGCACATCCTTTTCCCACCCAAACTGAATTCTCGAGGGTGATGTTCTGGTGACTCCTGCGGAGGGGGGAGGTGGGGGGGCGAATGTAAATGATGATCCGTCCGAGGGTGTTTCCTGGCCCGATTTCACCACCTCCCGCTACAACCGAAGATGGGAAATTTCGGGCACGAGGGGATGAAGGATCCGATGGGTGTTTTCTCCCCCAGCTCCGATGGCGTTCACAGCAAGTTAGCTCAAAGCGAACCGCGCTCAACAACAGTGCACAGATATTTGTGTAACACGTGTTTGGGGTTGCTTCACGAAAGCTTCTCATGAACGATCTTGAAGTCGACGGGGTTACATGCACCTCATTGGGTTTGAAAATTCGATTACTCAAACTCGTCTAGGTGTGTATCCACATTCGCATGACACGGGGAGTGGGTGTGGTCAGTGGCAAAACTGCCACGCTGGACCCAAATATCTGCACTTTTGGGCCTCTTGAGCCAACTTCGCTTGAGCTAACTTGCTGTGAATGCGATCTTACATCTGTCCCAAATCCCCGTGAAGAGTGGTTGCCGAAAGGGGGGGCGAGGGAGGCAAAATTTGCCTGAGGAGTCACTGAGGAGGAAGGTGGGGAGGGTAAATGTGCAGCTTCCAAGGGGTGCACATCCCTGAGGGTAAATGAGCGTTCTGTTGGCATTTAGGGCGTGTTAAATCGCCACACAATTCCGAAAATGGGGTGTGGCCGAATTTTTTACGACCAAATGGTCGTCATATTTTTCGCGAACAACGACGAGGTGGCCGAATCAGAGTCGACCCTTGAACAGCCAAAATTAACAGTTTTGGCAATTTAACAACTTTGGTGGCCGAATTGCAGGCTGGTTCTGAAAATTTGTTAAATTTGCAGTTACTACAGTAGTTTAGTATGTGCGACGGGGTCGCACTTTTGACGGCGATTCTTCATATTTGACGCGATCACAAATTTGGTCGCTGGACGAATCCATGCGACGTCGCAGTCGTTTGTCGCACACTGTGTCGACTACTTGGCCGCTTTGGAGTCGACTCAGCGTCGTTTTCGTGTCGACCTTTTAAACGGCCATCAAATTCGTTATTTTTTTACGAAATTTGCGACTGTCGCCACTGGAATTACGATTGTCGCGAACTGGTTACCTTCGCAAAAACGGCCCGACGGATTGTGGCCGAATTTTTGGAGTTTGCGATTTAACACGCCCTTACCTTCGTTTTGGTTCGGAGGGTAAATAGGTGGTTCGGCACGGTTTTACGGGCTGACCGACGTGTCGAACCAAAAACGCAGAGAGGGGAAGATTCCTATTTCCCCTCGCCCCCCTCCGCCAGTGCCTAGAGAACACCACCGAGGATTCCTCAGCATACTGATCACTAGCGTGGCGACCCCACGGTACTTATCTTCAACCTCCACTAGCGTGGAGCAGCAGTTTTATCCGATCTCCGCGCAGGAAATACAGATCACTAGTCAAATCTAGCGAGAAGGACCATGTCGAATCTCACCTTACAGGCGGAGCCGGGAGATTACCGAGCCGTTCTTCCGGCCCTCGCCGCGTCGATCTCGGGGATCGTAGTCCCGATTGCCACCCCCTCCCCTTCCGCCGCCGCTTCTGGCCGCCAAGCCGCGGGCCCGCGCGATGATCCGGTTTTCGGCGCCGCGCCGTGTTTGACGGGGCCGGACGGTGTGCGACTGTACGACACTGTCGCCGCCGCGCGATTCATCGCCGCGGCGAGCGAAGCAGGGGCATTGCTACTCCCAGCCGACAGCTCTGTGGAGGCCATTAGTACGAATTTCCTCCCCTCGCCCCTCCTCCGTTTCCCGTTCATCTCGTTCCTATATTCGTGCAACAAAACACCTCCCTTGTCGTAAAGTTGGATCCGTTCCCTCATCGCATCCGTCACTCATTCGGTCTGCCGCCTCGTCGCATCCGCCATTTTGGTCCACCGCCTTGTCGCATGTGTCGCCCAAATTGATCCGTCTCCTCCTCGCGTTTGTTGTCCATTTTGCCGTCCTCCCTTGGTCTGTCTTGACCAGCCATTGTATGCTTGCCCAACCTTCGCATGCTTGCCCGCCCACTAGCTATTCAGTACGAACCGACTATCCATACATGTTACTTATTTTCAGTCTGTACCGGGTTCGGCAGCATCTGGAACACGGAAGCCTCCTTGAACCACGGCTTGCAGCGCGTTTGCACGCGCACGCGCTCCCCCCCGTGCGCGTGTGTGGGTGTGTCGTGCGCGCGCGCGCGGGCGCGTGTAGATTTGTCGTGCGCGCGTGCGTGTGGATGTGTCATGCGCGCGCGCGGGCATCCGGTCGCAATGTATCAGGCAGGGTTCAGGGGTTACCAGTGAATCCTGTGCTTTTCCAGGCGCTTCGAATGGGCCAAATCCCTCCTTCCCCAGCACTGGTTCGCTTGACACCTGCTATCGTCTCGTTCTGCATTGCTTAATTTGGACATATGCAGGTGCGGAGGAGTGGCTGTATTGGGAGGTGACTGTACTGCAGCCTCAGGTGCTTGCAGCAGCTGCAGGCCACATCCAAGAGCTCACAAAAGACGCATCTGACCGCCTCTCGCAGGCGCTTGCCGCCAACCCCAAGCACATTCTGGGCGGCACGGATTTGTCTCTTGTGGACCTGGCCGTCTGGAGTGATCTGCTGCTGCTGTTTGGCCCGGGTGGCAAGCTTTCATCTGACAACGAGTCGCCTTTGGCCAAGTGGTTCAGGTATTGGGGGGCTTTTTGTGAAATGCGATTATGATGAGAAGGTAAGGTGTCATTTTTGTTCTAGAAACTCATTATAAGACTTTGTTCGATATTTTGTGACAGAAGGCCCCTTTTCCCAACCCTTGACTTCGCCTCTCCTCCCCAATTCCCGTCGACGTCCTCCTTGCAAGAAGGGAACAGTAAGGCAATGATTCCTGTTTTTCTCATTCAACTCACTTCATCTCCGCTGTAACTGCTCACTCCCCCTTCTGTCCCTGTTCCTTTCCCATCCCCACCCTTTCCCTCGACCCCTCACTCACTCTCTTCTCTTCCATATCCTCACATGGAAAGGTCGTAAGGGCATGACCCTCGTTTGCTGACTGCCCCAGCTGCTGCTTTCGACTCTGCTACCCTCCTCGTTTCGGATTCAGACCTCTCAAAAACTTCTTATTTCGCCTCCTATCCCTGTCATTCCCTGTCCCGTTTCCTCCCCCTTCATTCTTCTTCTCCCATTTGTCTTCCCCATACATCAAGGTCATGGGAGAGTGATGCTCGCTTCAAGGCGGCTGTAGCTGCTGCCCTCGCCTCTGCTTCCTCAGAAGGCTTTGTTCGTTCAACTGCTCCTCACTCCTCGTTCTCCCCTCCTGTACCTGCACTTTGTTTTCCCATACATGAAGGTCATGGGAGAGCGATGCTCGCTTCAAGGCGGCTGTAGCTGCTGCTCTGGCCTCTGCTCCCCCAGAAGCCATCGTTCAGTCTGCTGCTGCGCAGTTCGCTTCCCAGATGGCTGCTGCACCCGGGCAGGCTGAAAAAAGTGTCGTGAAGCTGCCCGAGCCGGGCAAGCGGAACATCATGGTGACGAGTGCGCTGCCCTACGTGAACAACGTCCCGCACCTTGGGAACATCATCGGATGTGAGTAGAAGACCTCTTGAGATTTCTAGACAGGGAGCCTTTGATGTCTTACTGGGAGCCATGGGAATGTGGATACATAAATATCTATATATTCATACATATATGCATATATATATACATATGTAAGTGTATGTTTTTTCTACTTCAAGTTCTTCAAGCAGGCGGTTTGATGATGAACTTCAATCCAAACACCCCCCCCCTCTCCCAGGCTTTCTGAGCGCGGACGTGTTTGCGAGGTACTGTCGGCTGCAGGGGTACAATGTGATCTTCATGTGCGGCACAGACGAGTACGGCACCGCCACTGAGACCAAGGCCATGGAGGTCTCCCCCACCTTCCCCGTCTCTCTGCTGCTGCTGCTGCTGCTTTCAAGACCCCCTTTCCCCACTTTCCCTGTCTCTCCGCCCCCTGCTCCGCCCCATGCCCCCTCCACCCGCCCACCCTCCCCAAATCCCTCCACATTAGGCGTTCTGAGTGCGGACGTGTTTGCGAGGTACTGTCGGCTGCGGGGGTACAACGTGATCTTCATGTGTGGCACAGACGAGTACGGCACCGCCACTGAGACCAAGGCCATGGAGGAGGGGGTCACGCCGCGGCAGATCTGCGACAAGTACCATGCCATCCACCGGAGCATCTACGAGTGGTTCGGGATTTCCTGCGATAAGTTCGGCCGGACCTCCACGCCGCAGCAGACGAAGATTTGCCAGTCGATCTTTAAATCGATTCACGAGCAGGGGCGACTGAAGGAGGACACGATAAGCCAGGTGAGTGCACCTTCAGTCAGGTTAACCCATGCACCAATCCCGATTTCCCTTCCTTCCTCCCTTATTTTCTGCTCCTCTGCCCCCCAGTTCCCAGCCCCCAATCCCCAGCTATCAAGTGTCCTGTTCCCTATCCCCTATTCCCAATCCCCTGCTCACTTGATCCCTTGCTTTCCAATCCTTCCTCAACTTGTCCCCCTCGTTTCCCCTTCCCAACCCTCTCCTCAGCCCTACTGTGTGGTGTGCTCTCGCTTCCTGGCGGATCGCTTTGTGGAAGGAACGTGCCCCACGCTTGGGTGTGCCTATGAGGTCCCCAGGGGGGGACCAGAACGACCCTCCCTTCCTCCCTTCAACCCCCTGCTCCCCTGTGTGTGTGTGCTCCCCACGCCCCCAGCCCTACTGTGTGGTGTGCTCTTCCTTCCTGGCGGATCGGTTTGTGGAGAGCACGTGCCTTACACCCGGACGTGCCTATGAGGACGCCAGGGGGGGGGGGGGGGGGCCCAGTGCGACCCACTCTTTCTCTTCCTTGTGTCCTGTGTCCGTGGTATGCGCCCGTCCTCTCCCCTTTCCCCTCTCCAGCCCTACTGTGTGGTGTGCTCGCGTTTCCTGGCAGATCGGTTTGTGGAGGGTACTTGCCCCACGCCCGGATGTGCCTACGAGGATGCCAGGGGGGACCAGTGCGACAAACTCTTTTTCTTCCTTGTGTCCTGTGTGCGTGGTATGCGCCCGTCCTCTCCCCCTTTCCCCTCTCCAGCCCTACTGTGTGGTGTGCTCGCGTTTCCTGGCAGATCGGTTTGTGGAGGGTACTTGCCCCACGCCCGGATGTGCCTACGAGGATGCCAGGGGGGACCAGTGCGACAAACTCTTTTTCTTCCTTGTGTCCTGTGTGCGTGGTATGCGCCCGTCCTCTCCCCCTTTCCCCTCTCCAGCCCTACTGTGTGGTGTGCTCGCGTTTCCTGGCAGATCGGTTTGTGGAGGGTACTTGCCCCACGCCCGGATGTGCCTACGAGGATGCCAGGGGGGACCAGTGCGACAAACTCTTTTTCTTCCTTGTGTCCTGTGTGCGTGGTATGCGCCCGTCCTCTCCCCCTTTCCCCTCTCCAGCCCTACTGTGTGGTGTGCTCGCGTTTCCTGGCAGATCGGTTTGTGGAGGGTACTTGCCCCACGCCCGGATGTGCCTACGAGGATGCCCGGGGGGACCAATGAGACCCTCTCTTCCTCCCTTCAATCCCCTACTCCCGCGTGTGTGTGTGTGTGTGTGTGTGTTGTGCTCCCTGCATCCCCAGCCCTACTGTGTGGTGTGCTCGCGTTTCCTGGCAGATCGGTTTGTGGAGGGTACTTGCCCCACGCCCGGGTGTGCCTATGAGGATGCCCGGGGGGACCAGTGCGACCGCTGTGGGAAGCTGCTCAATGCCGCTGACCTCATCAACCCTCGATGCCATGTGAGCAGCATAGTAGTGCACCACATTGCACCACTTTGCACCGCATTGCATCTCTTTTGCACCACGTCGCACCACATTGCAGTGTGACCGCTGTGGGAAGCTGCTCAATGCTGCAGAGCTCATCAACCCGTGATACCATGTGAGCACGCACCTCGCTGCACCACATTGCACCTCTTAGCACTTGTGTGGTGTGAAAAACTGCTTAACGCTGCTGACTTCATCAACCCTCGATGCCATGTGAGCTGCTTGTGATATTTCGGCAACAATATCTCACCACGCTGCACCACTTTGCACCACATTGCACCACGTCCAGGTGTTCCTACGAGGACGTCAGGGGGGACCAATGCGACTGCTGTGGGAAGCTGCTCAACGCTGCTGACCTTATCAACCCAAGATGCCACAAGAGTTCACCACATTGCATGGCATTTCATATCTTGCTTTTCTTCCAGCTCAATCTCATTTTCAACTCCCTTGTCACCGCATCCCCCCTCGCCCCGCCGTCTATGTCCCGGGACCTCTCTGTTCACGAATCGAATCAAATCAGATGTGCCACAGCCGCCCGGACATCCGCAACACGGAGCACCTGTTCCTGGATCTGCCCGAGTTTAAGTCTGAGCTGAAGGCCTATGTGTAACGTGCGCTTGTAATCCAGCTATCCAACAGCTGTTCTCTCCCTCCTCAATCTCATTCTCACCTCCTCCCTCCCACATTTCCCCTTCCCCCGCCCTCTCTGCCCCCTGCCCTCTCTTCCCGCCCTCTCTGTCCTCTGCCCTTGCTGTATCCGGCCTATACATCCCCAAATCGAATCAAATCAGATGTGCCACAGCCGCCCGGAGATCCGCAACACGGAGCACCTGTTCCTGGATCTGCCCGAGCTGAAGGCTGAGCTGGAGGCCTACGTGTAACACGATCTTTCAACCCAGCTTTCCAGCTGATGCCTATATGAGCATTTGACCCAGCTTTCCAGCTGTTCTCTTTCCTCGATCTCATTCCCACCTCCTCCCTCCCGCATTTCCCCTTCCCCCGCCCTCTCTGCCCCCTGCCCTCTCTTCTCCGCTCTCTCTGCCTCATGTGCCCTTTCTCCCCCGGCCAAACTGTCCCTGAACCGAATCAAATCAGATGTGCCACAGCCGCCCGGAGATCCGCAACACGGAGCACCTGTTCTTGGATCTGCCCGAGCTGAAAGCTGAGCTGGAGGCCTACGTGAGCGACACGTCAGCAGCGGGCGGGTGGAGTGCCAACTCGATCCAGACGACCAACGCGTGGATCAGAGACGGGTTAAAGCCCAGGTGTATCACGAGAGATTTGAAGTGGGGCGTGCCCGTGCCTCTTGACAAGTACAAGGATAAGGTGGGTGCATGTGTGTGTGTTGGGGAAGGGGGAAAGGGGAAAATTTGGAAAGGGGAGTTGGGTGGGAGTGCCAACTCGATCCAGACGACCATCGCTGGATCAGGGATGGGTTAAAGCCTCGGTGTATCACGAGAGATCTCAAGTGGGGCGTGCCCGTGCCTCTGGAAAAAAACAAGGATAAGGTGCGTGCCTGTGTCTCTGTGGTGGGGAAAAAGGAGAAGTAGGGTTGGAGTGCCAACTCGATCCAAGAAGTCCCTCGTGATACATCTGATTTCCTCCCCACCAGCATAGGCTACACCAGGTACGCCAGGCACGCATAGGCTACATCAGCATATCAGCCAACTACACAGAGAAATGTATAAGCCATTTCTTCTCCCTTGATTTCCTCCCCACCAACCCCCTCTCTGTCCAGGTGTTCTACGTGTGGTTTGATGCCCCCATCGGCTACATCAGCATCACAGCCAACTACACGGAGCAGTGGGAGCGGTGGTGGAAGAACCCTGAGGAGGTGGAGCTGGTGCAATTCATGGGCAAGGACAACGTGCCCTTCCACACCGTGAGTGCCCTACCACACGTATGATGCAAGCATGATCATGTGCCTTCCACACCGTGAGTGCCCTACCACACGTATGATGCAAGCATGATCATGTGCCTTCCACACCGTGAGTGCCCTACCACACGTATGATGCAAGCATGATCATGTGCCTTCCACACCGTGAGTGCCCTACCACACGTATGATGCAAGCATGATCATGTGCCTTCCACACCGTGAGTGCCCTACCACACGTATGATGCAAGCATGATCATGTGCCTTCCACACCGTGAGTGCCCTACCACACGTATGATGCAAGCATGATCATGTGCCTTCCACACCGTGAGTGCCCTACCACACGTATGATGCAAGCATGATCATGTGCCTTCCACACCGTGAGTGCCCTACCACACGTATGATGCAAGCATGATCATGTGCCTTCCACACCGTGAGTGCCCTACCACACGTATGATGCAAGCATGATCATGTGCCTTCCACACCGTGAGTGCCCTACCACACGTATGATGCAAGCATGATCATGTGCCTTCCACACCGTGAGTGCCCTACCACACGTATGATGCAAGCATGATCATGTGCCTTCCACACCGTGAGTGCCCTACCACACGTATGATGCAAGCATGATAATGTGCCTTCCACACCGTGAGTGCCTTTTCACACGAAGGCTTTATTGATAGCCCGGATCACATGGTGGGGAGCTGGGTGCCATTCCAATGTGTGTGTCCTCTCACACACAAGGTGGTGGAAACCAGATGGTGCCCATAGATTGCACCAGCTCCACCCACTACTGGGGATTCTTCCACTACCTTGTCCCTCATCTTCCGTGGCTCCATTCCCCCCTGTTCCTATCCACGCACTGGTCATCTTCCCTGCACCCTCCCTGGGAACGAAGGAGCCATGCACGCTCATGCACACACCATCAGCGTCACAGAGTACCTCAACTACGGGGGGACAGCGAGCACAGCAAGAGGGGCTCCAGCCTCTTTTGAGGCGCCTCAAAAGTACGGCAAGAGGGGCTCCAGCCTCTTTTGAGGCGCCTCAAAAGTACGGCAAGAGGGGCTCCAGCCTCTTTTGAGGCGCCTCAAAAGTACGGCAAGAGGGGCTCCAGCCTCTTTTGAGGCGCCTCAAAAGTACGGCAAGAGGGGCTCCAGCCTCTTTTGAGGCGCCTCAAAAGTACGGCAAGAGGGGCTCCAGCCTCTTTTGAGGCGCCTCAAAAGTACGGCAAGAGGGGCTCCAGCCTCTTTTGAGGCGCCTCAAAAGTACGGCAAGAGGGGCTCCAGCCTCTCCGCCCCACCTTCCCCTTTATCGTGTGCACCTCTCCTCCCCTACTTGGTGTCTTTTCTTCCACGTGCAGAACATCTTCCCCTGCACCCTCCTAGGAACCAAGGAGCCATGGACGCTGATGCGCACCATCAGCGTCACAGAGTACCTCAACTACGAGGGGGGCAAGTTCAGCAAGAGCACCCACCTCTCCCTCTCCATCCCTCCTTTTCCTTCCAGGATTCTTGCCTTCCCCCACCAATCAGGTCATCTTCCCCTGTATCCTTCTTGGAACAAAAGAGCCATGGACGCTCATGCGCACCATCAGTGTCACAGAATACCTCAACTACGAAGGGGGCAAGTTCAGCAAGAGGGGCTCCTTCCTCTTCGCCCCTGTTTCCCCTTCATCGTCCGCCCTTGTCCCTTCCCTTCCTATGCGCAGGTCATCTTCCCCTGCACGCTGCTCGGCACAAAAGAGCCATGGACGCTCATGCGCACCATCAGTGTCACAGAGTACCTCAACTACGAGGGGGGCAAGTTCAGCAAGAGCCCTTCTTGCCCCTCCAATCCTCCCTTTCCATCCCTCCTTCCCCCCACACGTACAGGTCATCTTCCCCTGCACATTGCTCGGCACCAAAGAGCCATGGACGCTCATGCGGACCATCAGCGTCACAGAGTACCTCAACTACGAGGGGGGCAAGTTCAGCAAGAGCCGCGGCGTGGGCGTGTTTGGCAATGACGCTCAGGACACGGGGATCCCCGTGGAGGTGTGGCGCTACTACCTTCTGACAAACCGGCCAGAGGTATGATTTGCCTGAGTCTCGAGGTAAAGGTCTAAGTGTGAGCGTGATGCCCAGGACACGGGGATCCTTGTGGAGGTGTGGCGCTACTACCTGCTCACCAACAGACCCGAGGTGAGGTTGCATGGAGTGAACAGTATGGATTTGTATGGCCAGGTTTTGGATATGGTCACGGCGGGTTTGGCAACGACGCGCAGTACACGGGGATTCCCGTGGAGGTGTGGCGCTACCTGCTGACAAACAGACCCGAGGTGAGGTTCCAGTAAATGCTATGCAGCACGGGAAAGGTTTGCGTGTGGCATGGGCGTGCTTGGGAAACCACCTGCTCACGAAAATCCTCAACCTCCCCCCTCCTCCCTGCCTCCCCACGCAGGTATCCGACACAGTGTTCACCTGGGCGGACCTGCAGGCGAAGCAGAACAACGAGCTGCTCAAGAACCTCGGGAACTTCATCAACCGCACGCTTGCATTCCTCGCCAAGCCAGAAGGTGTGTCACTCGCTTTGAGTCGTCTCAACAAAGCAAGCAGAACAGCAAGTTGCTCAAGAACCTTGGGAATTTCATCAATCGCACCCTTGCCTTCCTTGCTAAGCCCGAAGGTGAGTCACTGTTTCGAGTCAATCAAATAATGAAGCACCAGGCAGGCGCAGGGTAGGCCTACTTCAGACAGAGCATCAGAGCATACTGTTGTTGTAACATTGTTCGTTGTCGCGTATGTTTTTTGAGAATTCTCCCCCTCCGCACTCCCTATGCGCACTCTCCAACCCCCCTTCTGTCCAGGCGAGGGCTTTGCATCCATCGTGCCAGAAGCACCGGGAGCAGAGGAAGACGAGCTGACTGCCAAGTTCGGGCAGACCGTGGGGGAGTTGGTGAAGGAATACATTGACAAAGGTGAAGCTGACTCTTGCTGAACAGGGAGACCCCCTTTGTTCTCAATCCCACCCCCCTCATTCCAGGCGAGGGCTTTGCATCCATCGTGCCAGAGGCACCAGGAGCCGAGCAGGACGAGCCGACCAAGTTCGGGCAGACCGTGGGAGACCTTGTCAAAGAATACATTGACAACATGGAGAAGGTGAAGCTGAACCTGGGAGACTCCCTTCATCCCTTCATGTACACACTCCACACCCGCTCTTTCCAGGCGAGGGCTTTGCATCCATCGTGCCAGAAGCACCAGGTGGAGAGCAGGACGAGCTAACCGCCAAGTTCGGGCAAACTGTGGGAGAGTTGGTGAAAGAATACATTGACAACATGGAGAAGGTGAAGCTGAAAGCGGCGCTCAAAACGGCCATGGCGGTCAGCAGCGCGGGCAACCTGTACCTGCAGGACTGTTATAAGCTGCGCCCCGCCCCTCCCTTATCCCCCCATTCTTCCTATATCTTCCCCAGGCGAGGGCTTTGCATCCATCGTGCCAGAAGCACCGGGCGCAGAGGACGACGAGCTGACTGCCAAGTTCGGGCAGACCGTGGGAGACTCGGTGAAAGAATACATTGACAACATGGAGAAGGTGAAGTTAAACCTGAGAGACTCCTTTGCACACCCACCCCCCCTCTTTCCAGGCGAGGGCTTCGGGTCAGTGGTTCCAGAAGCGCCAGGAGCAGAACAGGACGAGCTGACTGCCAAGTTTGGCCAAACCGTGGGAGACTTGGTGAAAGAATACATTGACAACATGGAGAAGGTGAAGCTGAAAGCGGCGCTCAAAACGGCCATGGCGGTCAGCAGCGCGGGCAACCTGTACCTGCAGGAGTCCAAGTTCTGGAAGCTCTATAAGGAGGATAAACCGCGCTGCGCTGTGGTGATGCGGTCGGCTGTGGGCGTGGTGCATCTGCTGGCCACTCTGCTGCAACCCTTCATGCCCTCCTTCTCAGAAAAGGTGTGTATCATGCCGGGGGTATAAGGAGGATAAGCCGCGCTGCGCTGTTGTGATGCGGTCGGCGGTGGGGGTGGTGCATCTGCTGGCCACTCTGCTGCACCCGTTCATGCCTTCATTCTCAGAAAAGGTGAGTCTCGTGCCGGGGGTATGAGGAGGCTAAGCTGCGCTGCGCTGTGGTGATGCGGTCCGTTTTGAGGCGCCTCAAAACGCACCGCGCTGCGCTGTGGTGAAGTGGTCCACGGTGGGAGTGGTGCATCTGCTGGCCACTCTTCTTCACCCATTCATGCCCTCCTTCTCCGAGAAGGTGAGATATGGGCAACCTGTACCTGCAAGTTCTGGAGGATAAGCCACGCTGCGCTGTGGTGATACGGACTGCGGTGGGCGTGGTGCATCTGCTGGCCACGCTGCTGCATCCGTTTATGCCCTCCTTCTCAGATAAGGTGGGTCCTGTGGTATGAGGTTTTGCTGTTCGTTGAGAGGCTTGTTTGGCATGGAAGGTGACTGCGGCTTTAAGCTGTGGTGATGCGGTCGGCGGTGGGGGTGGTGCATCTGCTGGCTACACTGCTGCAACCCTTCATGCCCTCCTTTTCAGATAAGGTGGGTCTTGTGATAAGGCGAGGGTTGTAAGATTCAGGGTGAGAAGGTATTGACGAGGCGAGTTTTGGATGCTGCTGATTGAGAGGCTCGTGTGTTGCATCAGGTGATTCTTGCTGTCTTTGAGCCATGGTCAAAAGTGGTGAGCAGAGGTGAGCAGTGGTGCAGACATCTGCTGTCGTGGCGATGCTGCTGCTCTCCTTAGTGCTTGTTTTCCCGTACACACTCCCCTGCCGTTCTCCCCTCCTTTTTTCCCCAAATCTCCTCCTCCTCTTGTAAACACACCCACAGGTGTTGGCACAGTTGAATCTGCCCGCCTCGTCGCTCTCTCTCACAGACGCCGCAGCAGCAGCGGCCTACCAGCCGTGGGGGGTGGTGGCAGCAGGGCATGCCATCGGCGCTGTCGAACCCATCTTCCGAGAAATGAAGAACCAGTAGCCAACTAGGTCCCCGATTTCAGCCACGGTTTTTACCGGATCCAGGCTTTTCTGCGGTTCTTTCTTCCCCTGTTTCCCTCCTTTCCTCTCTCCTCCCACAGGTGCTGGCGCAGCTGAATCTGCCTGCCTCGTCGCTCTCCCTCACAGATGCCGCAGCAGCAGCAGCCTTCCAGCCGTGGGGGGTGGTGGCAGCAAGGCATGCCATCGGCGCCGTTGAACCCATCTTTCGAGAAATGAAGGACGATGAGGTGGACGCTTTCAGGCACAGATTCGCTGGTAGCCAGGCTTGTTGAAGGCTCTTTCATCCCCTGTTCCCCCTCCTTCCTCTGGTTCCTCCTTCCCCTGTTTCCCTCCGTTTCGCTGTCCCGTCCCCTCCCACAGGTGTTGGCGCAGCTGAATCTGCCCGCCTCGTCACTCTCTCTTACAGACGCCGCAGCAGCAGCGGCTTTTCAGCCGTGGGGGGTGGTGGCAGCAGGGCATGTCATCGGCGTTGTCCCCCCTTTCTCCTGTCCCCCTTTCTCCTCCCACAGGTGTTGGCGCAGCTGAATCTGCCCGCCTCATCACTTTCTCTCACGGATGCCGCAGCAGCAGCAGCCTACCAGCCGTGGGGGTTGGTGGCAGCAGGGCATGTCATCGGTGCCGTGGAGCCCATCTTCCGGGAAATGAAGGACGACGAGGTGGACGCTTTCAGAAACAGATTCGCTGGTAGCCAGGCGGATCGCACTGCTGCTGCCGCCGCTGCTGCTGCTGGTGGTTCTGCCGCTGGTGCTGGCGGTGCTGGTGGTGCTAAGGCAGGTGGTGGTGGTGGAAAGGGGAAGGGGAAAGGTAGCGGCGGTGGTGGTGCTGCTGATGGTGTGGCGAAGCAGAAAGGGGAGGGCAAGGAGAAGGGAGAGAAGGGAGACGGGGCGGCAGATGGTGCAGCTGATAAGAAAGAGAAGAAGAGCAAGGGGGAGAAGGGGGAGAAGGGCGAGAAGGGCGAGAAGGGGGAGAAGGGGGAGAAGGGCGAGAAGGGGGAGAAGGGGGAGAAGGGCGAGAAGGGGGAGAAGGGCGAGAAGGGCGAGAAGGGCGAGAAGGGCGAGAAGGGCGAGAAGGGGAAATCGGGAGGAGGGAAAGCAGGAGGAGGAGGAGGAGCAGCGGAGAGTGCACCGGTGGATGTGTCTCGGTTGGATCTGAGAGTGGGGCGGATAGTGAAGGTGGACAAGCACCCAGACGCGGACTCACTGTATGTGGAGCAGATTGATTTGGGTGAAGCCGAGGGGCCGCGCACCGTTGTCAGTGGACTCGTGAAGTTTGTGCCGATTGAACAGATGCAGGTGAGAAGCTGAGGGGTTGCTATGCAGTGCAGGAAGGTGGAATGTGGTGGAAAACGGTGTTTTGTGTTAAGAGAAAGCACCCAGACGCGGACTCGCTGTATGTGGAGCAAATTGACTCGGGAGAAGCAGAGGGCCCTCGCACCGTTGTTAGTGGGCTGGTTAAGTCCGTGGTGATCGAGCAGATGCAAGTGCGAACTTAGGGGTTAAGTGCGGTGAATAACAGTTTGGCCAGGTGTAGGCTAGTCTATTCATGGCCATAAATCACTGAGCATTTTCCTTTTCTTCTGCTTCTATTCTGAACCATGCGTTGTTGTCGTCTCCCCCCTTACGCTCCATGTGTCCTGTTCAATCTCTATGAACGTGTGGTAGGATCGGCTGGTGTGTGCTCTGCAACCTCAAGCCAGCAGCCATGTGGGGCACTAAGGACACACTGAGTCCAATACATATCTTCGCATTTCTACATTCGTCGACTCTCCCTACCTGCGCATGCGCGTGTGTGTTGTCGTGTCATGTGTGCAGGATCGGCTGGTGTGTGTGTTGTGCAACCTCAAGCCAGCAGCCATGAGGGGCGTCAAGAGTCATGCCATGGTGCTCGCTGCCTCTAATGCCGACCACACTCAGGTGGGTGATGGGGAGGTGTGATGGGCAGGTGGGTTCTAGGCCAACACATGCTTGTGCAGCCATGAGGGGCGTCACGAGCCATGCCATGGTGCTCGCTGCCTCTAATGCCGACCACACTCAGGTGGGTGATGGGGCAGGTGGGTGATGGGACAACAAGTGGTTTTTTTTGGGCAGAGCAAGTAGATTTACAACAGTTGGTTTGTTCCTCCCATGCGAAGCGCGTGCCTTACCGTTGCCCACTCAGAAGAGCCATGAGCCCCACCACCTTAGGTGGAGCTCATTGGCTCTTCAGAAGGGGCAGCAGCACCCGTCGATTGAATCACGTGCCCCAGCTACCTCAGGGACATGAGCCCTAATGCTCCCCCTCTTCCCTTTCCTCTCTCACCCTTCTCCCCATCAGGTGGAGCTTATCAACCCGCCTGAGGGGGCAGCACCCGGTGATCGAATCACATGCCCTGATTACCCCGGGGAACCAGACGTGCAGCTGACCCGAAGAAGGTGTGGGACTTGACTTTCCTCCCCCTCCCTCTTCTGTTGTCCCCCACTCTTCTCTCCCTAACAGGTGGAGCTCATTAACCCACCCGAAGGGGCAGCACCCGGCGATCGAATCACATGACCTAGTTACCCCGAGGAGCCAGACGCGCAGCTGAACCCAAAGGAGGAGGTGTGAAACCCAAAACTCCCCCTCTTCCCTTATCTTTCTTGCTCACCTTTCTCCCTAATAGGTGGAGCTTATCAACCCGCCTGAAGGGGCAGCACCTGGTGATCGAATCACCTGCCCTAATTACCCCGGGGAGCCAGACGCGCAGCTGAACCCGAAGAAGAAGGTGTGGGAAGCGGTGCAGGTGGATCTGCGCACCAACGGGGAGAGGGTGGCATGCTACAAGGGCGTGCCCCTGGCTGTTGCTGGCGGCGTGTGCACTGCTGCTGCTCTGGCTGATGCCTCTATTGGGTAGACTGGAGGGGGGGAACGAGGAACCAGGTGCAGGGAGGTGTGTGCATGAACGGGGAGAGGGTGGCATTCTACAAGGGCGTGCCTCTGGCTGTTGCCGGCGGTGCATGCGCTGCTGCTGCTCTTGCTGATGCGTCCATTGGATAAACTGGAGAGGGGATTAGAGAGAGGAGGGGAGAGGAGAGAGGGGAGAGGGAGAACGAGGAACAAGGTGCAGGGGGGTGTGCTGCGCAGCAACAGGGAGATGGTGGCATGCTACAAGGGCGTGCCTCTGGCCATTGCTGGCGGTGTGTGCACTACTGCTGCTCTGGCTGATGCATCCATTGGTAAATGGGGCGACGGAAGTGAGGAGGGGAGAAGGGGAGTGGGGGGTGGGTGTGCAGTAGTCACCGCCGGGAGAGAAGAGGGAGAGAAGGGGAGGGGAGAAGAGGGAGGGCTGGAAAGGGGTAAGATTTGGTGCAAGCGAGGTTGGAGGAGGAGAGGTGCATTCGCTGGGGACGGCTGCAACAGACCATGCACTCTCATGGGCTGTTGCAACAGCTGGATTAAATCCAGTAATTTTGTGTACTGCATTGAGGGTGTACGCATGTTTATGATTGGATATACGTTGCTATGAATCTATATGAGCTTTTTGATAGTGTTCTACAGAAACCATAATTTGCAGCTGGAGATGTTGCAAGGCCTTGAACTATGGTGAGGATGGGGGTAAAGTCGACATAAAAAATGGATTTGCTTCGACATATAAGTACCGTATACCATCATTGCTTGCACGTTCCCACGGTAATATGCATCAAACAACCCTCGCTTCAAGAACATGCCACAGATAATGCCCACCTGAATCAATGCCATGCGAACGCCATAAAATGAAAGAAGAGAGCAGGCACATGAACACACATTGGCTGGCACCAGGTGCTGATCGGTTCTCGCCCAGCTCCTAAGCTGAGACTTCCCCAATCTCAAAACGGATTCCTGAGAGAGATAGACACTCTTGGGAGGCTCAAAACATGGTACGTGAAATTGTAAGACGTCCCAAAGCTCGCACATTGGAAAATACCAGGTGTGCACGAGCCTGCATCAGGCTGTGTGGTTCTCCCCTGACTCTTCCTTCGGCCGCCTGAACGGCAGCAGGGACCACTGGGGCCGTGATGACTTGGCCTTGGCGGGACGAGCTGGGAGAAGGCAGGGGATACCACAAGGAGGGAAGGAAAGTCAGATGTTGAAAGAGCTTCAAGGTAAATGAGTTCACTCTAATGCAAGCAATGGTGGGTGGAGGTGATAGAGCTGCATTGTACGATTAAACTCCGGGGACTGGCAAATGCGTTGATGCTGCATGAGTGTGTTCGGAACACTCACGAGTCACGCCTGAAGATTGCTCTACACAGCGAAACGCTCTTGTACTCGATACCTGACATCGCACCAGATACCTGACCGATACCTGACATCACACCTGACATGTTTCTTGAGAAGATCTTGAGAATCTCGTCCACAATGATGACCTGACATGAGGACATGGTAGGGGACAGAACACGGGGGTGGGCAGTGCATGAGGAGAGCGCATGGTGCCGGTCAACATGGGGGACAGAACATGGGGGAGGGCATTGCATGAGGACATGGTAGGAAACTGAACATGGGGGGGGGGGGGGGGGTATAAAGGCAGAGCATGGGGAGAGGTATGGGACAAAGCACCGGACAGAACAGGGCATGAAACAGGGAAGGGCATGAGAAGAGGGCGTTGGGGTAGGGCGTGGGGGCAGTGCATGAGGAGAAAACACTTCTGACAAACAGGGAGAGGAGTTGGTCTGGAGGTGAGAACCCGATTTTTTTTTTTTTTTTTTTTTTTTTTTTGGTCGAATTCTAAAACATGCAGATTCGGTCTGGAAGTGAGAGGGTGGCGTACAGGGAAGGAGAAGAGTAGCACTGCACACCACTCAGGCCAGGATAGAGGGCCGACCTGCCATGGTGGATAGAGAGAGGAAGGAGGAGGAAAAGAGGAGGGAAGAGAACAATGAGTATAGCATGGAGGCAGGGCAGACGGGTGAAAACGAAGAATGACGAAACCAAAAGAGATCGGTTCTAGGCATGTGAAAAAGTAGTGAGAGACGAGGAGTTCATGGGGAGCTGAAAGACAGTGAGAGAGAAGAAAGGTGAGAAAGAAGGGATGAATGTTAGTGATGGGGATGAGCAGAAAAAGAACTCACAGAGAAGAGGACAGCAAGGGCTGGGATGTAGAGGATGAGGAAGTGAAGGATCATTGAGAGGGCGATGGCTGCTAGCAGCCAGAGGTTGGACCATGGTGGCAGGACGCTGCAGGGCAGGGGTGGTTTGGAGGAGGGGGTGGGGCGTGCAGCGGTAGGAAAAAGTAAATGCTAGATGATTAGCAGAGTTAGGGGGAATGGAGAGAACGGGGAGAGTGATGGAGACGAGCAGCTTGAGGTTGGGCCAGGGCGGCAGGTCGGTGAAGTGGGGGGGGGTTGGGAAGGGGGTGGCGGACCCTGACTGCATGAAAATGTTGCGAGCATGGAGAGAGTGGCGATAGTGATGGCAGCCGGTGCTGCGGAGAAACTCACAGAAGGCTCTGGTTATCTAAGAGATTGTCGAAAGCGTTAAACACCTCGACCACCACTAGCACTGACATGGCCACGGTACGTGGACATGGAGGAAAGGGTAGGAGCAGGGGTGCGAGCAGGGCAGGGACAAGGATGGGCACTTGCATTTCTTGCTTGACGGACTCACAGCAGGCTCTGGTTCTCTGAGAGGTTGTTGAGGGCGTTGGACATCTCCACCACCACCAGCACTGACATGGCCACAGTGCGGGGACGACAAGGCAGGGGTTCCAGCGGAGGTACGGGCAGGCATAGGCAAATCGCATTCCTTGGACTCACAGCAGGCTCTGGTTCTCTGAGAGGTTGTTGAGCGCATTAAACATCTCGACCACCACGAGCACTGACATGGCCACCGTGCGTGGACGCGGGTCCAGGAACACAGCGCACGGGCGACCAGACGAGTCCACACAGGTGTCAAAAGTGACCTGCATGGGTGCGTTGAGGAGGAGTGGAGATGAGGAGGGGAGGTGCGAAGTGAAGGCATGCAAAATACCGCAAGCACAGTGACACAGCAGAAGGGGCGACCAGACGCATTCACACACGTGTAAAAGGTGACCTGTGTGGGTGCATCGAACGGGAGAGGGGGCGGGAGGGGAAGGTGAGAACTAACGACATGTCAACACTGGAAGCACTAGGAGCAAAGACACATTGAGGAGACCAAATGCATCCATGCAGGTCAAAAGGTTTGCCATGGATTAACAAGGAAGCAAGACACGGGAAGATGGCAGGGAACGAGCGGAAGGGCAGGGGTTTGCAAACCAGGGGTTTGCTAGAGGAGTCTCAGTCGAGAGTGAGAAAGGCTGAGTCAAGGTTTGAAGCGAGGGAGAGAAAGAATGAGAGGGGTAGAGAGATGGAGAAGGAGATGGAGAGAGCGAAGATTGTTCAGCAACTGCAAGAACAAGTTAACAATCTGCAGAGTCATTTGAAAGACATGAAAAGCAGGCTGGACGGCGAACTGCTAGAAATGCGTCAGCAGCTAGAGGAGTTCGCTCTCTAGTTGCTGGCGCATGTCTGGCAGTTCGCCCTTCAGCCTATTTCGTGCCTTACAAATGACTCTGCAGATTGTCAACTTGGACTTGCAGTTGCTGGACAATCTCCTCTCTCTCCCTCTACCGCACGTTCTCTCTCCCTCTCCTTTTCTCTATCACCCACCAACACTCCAGCACCCACCCACATCCCAGCACCCACCCAACCACAACGCGTCCTAACCCTTTTCTATAGCCCCTTCCCCTTTTCTTGAACGTTTCCTGCTCGGTGATTGCAGAAATCTGGAACCCCTCAGATTGGACCAGTGCTTGAACAAAAAAAGAAGAAAGGAGAGACGCACCAGTTGAGTCCAGGAGATCTTGGGACCATCGGCGAACCACATGTACCACCACACGTGTGATGAGGCCCTTGTCTAGTCGACTCAACAAAGCAATTCTTTAGTCAACTCAAGACTTGAAAAAGCAGAGAGGAGAGACGCACCAGTTGGGTCCAGGTGATCTTGGGGCCATCGGTGAACCACAGGTACCACCATACAAAGGCAGCCACTGTCACCAGCAATTCACACTGTCAGGTGCGACGAGGCTTTAACAGAAAAGGCAGAGAGGAGAGACGCACCAGTTGGGTCCAGGTGATCTTGGGGCCATCGGCGAACCACAGGTACCACCACACAAAGGCAGCCACTGTCACCAGCCCCACGTAGACTGGGAAGAAAAGGTAGGGTATGGGAGGGGAGTGGTGGTAGGATAAAGAAACAGGTGTGTTTGGATCCCAGAATAGATCTTGGGGCCACCGGCGAACCACATGTACCACCACACAAAGGCAGCCACTGTCACCAGCCCCACATAGACTGGGGGAGAGGCGGGGAGAGGGAGGGGTGAAGAAATGAATGTGCTTTTGGTCGACTTAAATCAAATCACATCTTGGGACCATCAGCAAACCACAGGTACCACCACACAAAGGCAGCCACTGTCACCAGTCCCACATAGACCGGGGAGAGGAATGTGGGGGAGAAAGTGGTAGGGAGAGAGAGAAATGAGAAATTAGGTGCGACTGAAAACACATCTTGGAGCCATCGGAAAACCTCAGTTACCACCACACAAAGGCACCAGCCCCACGTAGAGTGGGGGAAACAGGAGTTGAGGGGAAGGTGGTTGGTGGGGAAGGCGTGAGAATATAGAATTAAAAAGAACAGGGGAAAGCCAAAGCAAGTGCGTTTTGGATTATGGTAAACTGTGTGTGTGTGGGTATCTGTGACACACAGGCAGTAGGGCATATGCAGTATAAGAAAGGGGAACAAATGGAACCAGAGTATAAATTGATGCTGCTAGCTGGTTCATCCGATGAGATGAAATCCAGAACAAGACGAAACAAGAGGCATGTATGAGTGAGCAAGAGAAGCACTCACTTCCAATGA